TCGTATTAATTGAAATTATAAAAAGCGATAAATGGGGGGGTTTTGATTTAATAACTAAACTACCTAAAAATCTAATGAAATGAATAAAATCTAAACAAGAAAATAAAAATAAAAATAAATAAAATAAGAGAAAGCTTCTAGTTCACGGTTCCGTCTACACCCTCGACTGATTCGTCTAATCAATTCTGGTATCAAATCTCGCTATCTTATGAAATTACTAGCCCTAGGCAACGACACGGTCAATTACCCGAATTTTTCCTTATTTTTAATTTAACCGCGAGACGCTCGACGATTAAACCTGACTTCTTGTACAGTCCAGAAAAACGTTTTCAAGATTTAATACAATTAGCCGCTTTACGATTTAGAAAAATAGGCTAGACTAATTAGTGAACTCAACCGCGTTCGTTCACTTAATTAGGCCGTGTTATCCCCGGTAGTTACCATCTTCCGGTTACCTCTTATGAATTAAACACAACAACAATTACGGATTGCAGGCCTAATTCAGATGTAGATATGAAAAGCCTAATCTAGGTGATCAATCTAAACAAGACTAACACATCATGGTTAATTATTCAAAATAACACAAGCAATTCCAAAAAGATATTGAATTCATCAACCAAATAATCAATCAAAACATAGTCATTCGTAGGGTTCGACTTCCCCGGGACTAGAAATAAAAACTACTCTATCATAATAAATAAAAAGAAATAATAGATAAAAGAGAGAGATTAATTATCTCCCTCATGTACGGGTGCGGCCTCCCTCCGCAATTAACTGTCGGGCTCCTTTCGTATCTGATGTCCGCTCGCTTCGCAAATAATTCTGTGCGTCAATAATCCTTTCTGTGTGGCGGCTTTTATTCTGTTTTCCCTGCTCCAAGTCGGCGTCCTTTTTTGCTCTTGCGTAAATTCCCAATATATTTCCTCCTAGGTATGCGTGCGTGAGTATTCAAAACTAATTGCTACTCCAAATAATTCCATGACATTGGACTTATTGGCCCGCTAAGTCTCTTCCATCTTCCAAGCTCACGTGAGTAACACAAAGGTCATGTAATGACCTATTATCATTAACATTCATTAACCAATTAATGGGCCTTACTCTCGTCCGCAGCCCACGTGCATGTTGGGCATTTGATTTAATTCTTTAACAACTGGGCCCGAATTTAGATTGAACAATCGCCACCAATTAAAATTCTCCAATATCCTGAAAATAAACAATAAATATATCATAGTACATAATTTCATCTAATAAATAAATAAGTCGACAAACAATAAGTGCGATAAAATTAAGCATATAAAAATACGCTAATAAATATATAAAATACACACTTTTGTCGACTAATCAGATAAATATAAAAAAAGAAAAATCAACAGTAATATATAAACACACACATACACACACACTTAGAATGATTGATTAGATATATTTTGAATAAAACCAATAATACCAATTTCATAGTAATTTTGTTAACATAATTTAAAGAAAAAAATTCTCATTATAATTATAAAAAATATTTTGATTAGTTTTGTTATCATCTCATGGTTGTAGATATGAATTATGTTAATCAATAAAAAACACTTAAAATATATAATAAAATAATGAAAATTATTATGTTTGAATTATATTAGCTTAATGAATAATTTAAAATATTAATAAACTTTTATAAAATGTAGTCAACTTAACCATGAATAAACTAAATCTAATGAGTATATATTAATAAATTATCTTTTTATTGTCGGGTAAAAATAAGAATTATAAATTTCACATTAAAATATCTATATACATCAAAAACAGGTGTTAAAAAATAAAATTTTTATTATATATCATTTTATAAAGAACAAAGAATAAATAAAATTATATAGCCAAGTAATAATTGAAATTATAAGATTTTTCAGTCATTGGAATATAAAATTACTAAATTTTTTTATTAATTAAATTATTCTATATGTTGAGGAAAATGAATTAAATAAATAAATATATAAAAAATATTAAAATACAAAATAAAATATTTACCATGAAAAATTTGTGTTGCACAAGAGATAAAAGTTACTAAAACAAATTTAATTATCCTAAGTTAGTATTTATCAATCTGCAATTTGGGGAAATAACTGAAAACTTTCTCTCTCGAAAAAACGTCCCCAATTCTCGTCGATTAAAATCAACCCCCGTTGCCTTCCTCTCGGATTTCCGTTTTGCTGGTAGTCGTCCCTCGTCGGCCGGCCCTTCCCAGTTACTGCGACACTGCTCGCTACGGGTACCGATGATTTTGGTGGTCGCCAAATCAAGCTCGCCTTCTCTGATAGGTGGGCTAGGGTTTGCGATTGCCGGACTTCTTGGTGCGGTGGAGGGTTCATATGTCGCGGTGCGATGGGTAAGGGCCGGGTTTGGCTCCGGCTATTCGCTTTCCTTGGTCGGAGGTCCTTGGCTCCTCAGGCGGCCTCTCTCCGAACTCGCCTTCAACGGATTGGACGGCTTCTGGGCTCGTCTCTTCCGATCGCCGAGGTGGGATGGAGCCTGTCGGTCTGCACTGCTCCTTTTCACCGGCGGAATGGTGATTGTAGGTGGCGAGCTTTTGATTGACGACTGGTCGGAATTTGGGTTTGTCGGTCTCGATTGAGGGTGAGTCTTCTCCTCTTGCCGTTCTTGTCTCGGCTCTCTTTTGTCTGCGACTGGTGTGCTCTGTCTTTTCTCTGTTATCCCCGAAGTGTGGAAGAGCTTGGTGGCTGCGGCTTATTGTGGGGAGGCAGGGTTGGTTCGGGTTCGGGTCCGTTTGTGGTCGAGGTGTCTTTGTAACGGGTTGGTGGGGCTGTGGCTGAGGCTTTGAGACTGGTTCCCTTCCCCCGGTTTTTTGTGTCCCGGGGGCTCACTGTTCTTTCAGAGTCTGCTAGTGGTGTTAGCGGGCTCGGATTTGCGTTGTGGGGAGCTTCTCGATGTTTTCTGGCGTTGGGAGAATTAGCTTCGGGTGGGATTCGTGGTATGAGTTTCGATTCAGCTAGGCAATTTGGCAGTGGAGGGGTCGCTCTTCTCATGCTGTTGAATCCCCCTGGGTTGATTTGGTGGCTGCAGGTCAAGATAGGATTTGCTGTAGAGGGAGGGCTCGTGTGTTTTTATTGTCTTTTCAGTATTTGTTTTGTAATTTGGTTTCTTTGTTTTGTGATTGTGTTTTTGGTATGGGCCTTTTGGCCTCTGTGAAACCGAGTGTCACCTTATTATCCCATTGGGATCCTACACTCAGGTATTACTCTGTTGGGGTCTTTTTAGTTGTTGTTAGGTGTTTTAGTTGTTTTAGTTGCGAGTTTTTCTAGCGTTGCTAGCCGGGTCTCTAGGCGGTCTTCTGACCTGTCCTCCCACTTTTTCAGTTGTTGATTGCTGTTTATTCAGCCGTTAGCTGCTGTGTATTCGCACATTTGTGCATTTTGATTTATAATATAATTTATCGTTTCAGAAAAAAAAAAGTTAGTATTTCATGCAATTAGAGTGATTATAAATAAAAATTAATTCTATGGATTAAATGTTGGTCAGTTATCGAGCAATATGCAAAATATGAATTGCTAAAAAACTATAAGATTAATATAATCGATAATTATATAAGTACATGCAATTAATTGATATACAATTATTATATTTTAAATCTTACATTTTGATAATATTTATAAACTAATAACTAATTAAATTCATACCTAAAAAAATAAACTGGAAAAAATAAAAAATAAAATATTTAAATAAATATTATATTATCATAGACTTGATATGTTGTGTCGAATAAAATTGACATATTATCTTAAATAATTTAATAATATTTAATAAAAATATTTTTTTATATTGTATCCCGTGCATCGCACGGGTAACAATACTAGTTTACTTTGTAAGATAGAATGAATATTCCCTTACTCGCTACTTAATTAACACATGATTNTATCAAATTTGTTTCAGAAAACTAAAATTTTAAAAATATTTCCAAAAGAATAACACTTAGCTTTAAACAAATAGTTGATTGAATTAACTGCTAACATATAATTAATTGTATTAACAACTTTGTTTAGTAGATTTAATTAGCTGCTAATGTAAAGTGTCTAATATAAAGTGTTTGATATATAAAACAACTAATTTTTCCATAATCTATCCAAAATATTCGTATATTGATTTTTTAAAATTAGTTTTAAACTAAAAAAAATATTTTAAACTGATAATTACCCACATAATTAAAATTAGATGTTTTGGTTGAAAAACATTAATTCACCCAAACTTCTAACTTTGCCTTTTACAAACAAAACCATAATTTGCAAATTCTACTGCATAGTGCATACTTATACAATCCAGGTAAAAAATCAAATCTTTTCCAAAAAATAAAAATAAAAAAAAGATAGTTGGTACTTTATTTTATAATTAAGTAATAAATGCATTTACAGTGATATCCATCTATCTACTGAAAAAGTCCAATATCACTTTCTTTCACCCCCACACACACACGTCACATTATATTCCCACATTAAATCCGGGTCGGGTCTACCCGACCCCAAAACCGATGGGTCTCCGCCGCACCTTTTTGTCCTTGAGATAAATCTCTTGGCTGAACCTCGAAATCCGTGGGCGGCGATAAGAATTCATAGAGATTTTTTCGAGCTCTTTTTACCCTCTTTTTTGTTCTTCTGTAATGGAAGCAGTTAGAAGAGAAAAGAAGAGGAGAGAGAGCTGAGTGGCGTAAGATAGACCGGGCGGTGGATTGAAGAATCTTCGAATCGCACACACTCGCACAACTTGGGTTTTTGGTGTGCTTTTTTCTTCTCTCTCTACACGTATACGGTGTATCTCTATCTTCTTCGCGTGCTTCGTACGGTCTATTTCACGCTTATCTGCTTTCTCCTCTCTCCCTCTGTTCTCGCTCTGCCATTGCAGCTCGCCCAGGAGCTTATCTCTGTTTTTTCTTTGGTGCCCCTTTTGGATTCAGTTATTGTTTAATGCAATATGTGTGGTTTTAATTTACTGTTGTGAAGTATATCATGCATTCGAAAACTAGGAGGATAGTGTACATTGTGCACAGGTAAAAGATACAGCAGCGTTATGTGTTAATGAGTAATTCATCTTTTATCTAGAACAATAAGGCATGCTAGTGGCTTTGTACTGGTTATAGCTATAGTGGATTTTTTAAGCATTTTCTGTTAGTTATAACTATGGATAAACTGGAGCCTGCCGGGAATTCAGTGGATGCTGGTGTTCTCGCTGGTGACGGCAGACCTTCGTACTGGCTTGACGCGTGTGAGGATATTTCGTGTGATGATTATTTGATTGATTTTGAGCCGACACCAACCCCAGTGGCATCGGCTCTTGTACCGGAACCGCTATCTGAAGGGGGCTGTCACGACCCCAGCTTCTTTGGCGGGATTGATCAGATTTTCGATCGCATAAAAAATGGGGGAGCCGATTTGCTGGCTCAGGCGAATGATGGAAACAACCAGAGTGAGTTTCTTCCTGGTTCTTCATCCGGGGAGGCATGTGTCCAGGATCAAATCCAACAAAACTCGGCACCTAAGCATGAAGTTCAGAATTTGAATGGAAAACGGCCTTCTGAGTGTAGCAATGGGCTAAAGGGCGAAAAAAATGACTCTGGAAAAAGGCCTCCCGCGCTTCATGACAGGGCATTTCAGGGTAGGGGTATGAAGAGGGAGAGGAGGATTTGGGATAGGACTCCCTTGAGAAAGAGGCAGCGTGAGTGGGACCATGCGGAGGGTGAAGGGCAGACAAGAGACCGCCAAAGAAGACGAGAGCGTTATGGTGCGGGCGGCTGGAAGGGCAGGGTTTGCAGGGAGGGGAGGGGTTACTGGGAACGGGAAAAGGAGACGAATGAAGTGGTTTTCCATACGGGTGCGTGGGAATCTTCCCGAAATAGGGATGAGAAGGGCTCCCAGAAGAGCAGCAAATGTGCTACCGGAAGCTCAGAAGAGAAGAAAGAGGACTGGCCCAAGGAGAAATTTGTGGAGGAGGTGGCTCGCCGTTACCAGTTGGAAGTTCTTGAGCACGCCAAGAAAAGAAACACGATTACATTCCTTGAGACAGGGGCTGGGAAGACGCTAATTGCCGTGCTCCTCATGAAAAGTGTGAGCGCTGAATTGGAAAAACAGAACAAGAAAATGCGGGCCGTCTTTTTGGTGCCTAAAGTTCCTCTTGTTTATCAGGTAGCGTCTAAGTGGGGATTTGGCATTGAATCTACACTCGTTTGATGTTTATCTGGTATGTAGATAACTCTTTTGTTTTTTTTATTTTATTTTGGACTTTTGTAGCAAGCAGAAGTGATCCGGGAGCGTACGAGTTTTCAAGTTGGTCATTACTGTGGGGAGATGGGTCAAGATTTCTGGGATGCTCGGAGGTGGCAGCGTGAGTTTGAGAGTAAGCAGGTATCATTGAATGTAACACCTATTGCTTGACTTTTTTGATGATGTTTATTTAAAGCGACATCCGTCTAAGAGTTTCTTAACAGAACACTATGTTTTATGTCCCGTGTCTTAAGCAGCTGAAATTAACATTATAAAGGATGTAAACACTCCCTTTTCCCTGCTTACTGATATTTGGTATGGAGTAAAATAAATCTACCACTATTTCCTGGTTCAGAGAGGTGAAAAGCATCTTAAAATTATGGGGTTTCAATTGAAATTTCGCAAATGGGAAGTAAAGAATGAAATTGAGTGTGTATAGTGATTAATAATTATATATCCTACCGTAGCATGAGTACCAATGGCAGAGGTGGGTAATGAAGGTGTCAAAAACGGAAAGTACAAACAGATGCATATGCAGATTTAACTTGATTGTGTTACAGTGATGGTTGGCGGGAAATAATTACAAGAAAAAATGTATTACATGCATATGTGACTTCTATACATATTAAATACCGTTAGTCATGCAAATGTGATTCTTTTGTATGCCTTTTCTGACCGCATGTCTTCTTCTAACTTATTTTGTTTGTTAAACTAGATGACTCGTTCCAATTTAAATAAATTTAATAACTTGTTTCTCTTCTATATTTACATAATTTGGCTTATTGGGCTGTTAAGATCTTGACTTCCATATGATTTTAGAAGGCACATTATTGATGCTTATTAATATTTCTATTTATGTTTAAGTTGCATTTGAAGTTATTAGAATAATTAGAAGCATGTAGAAAAGACAATCACTTAGCATAAGATGTTTAGCTTTTCTCACTTATGATCCTGCCTTGGCCAGGTCTTAGTGATGACGGCTCAAATTCTTCTCAACATACTCAGACACAGTATTGTAAAGATGGAAGCTATCAGTCTTCTTATTTTGGATGAGTGTCATCATGCTGTGAAGAAACACCCTTATTCCCTAGTGATGTCCGAGTTCTATCACACTACACCAAAAGAGAAGAGGCCATCAGTTTTTGGGATGACAGCTTCCCCTGTGAACTTGAAGGGTATGGCGATTAACTTATCTCCATCTATTGTGATCAGTGGTTTCTTATCTGAAGCTTACGTGGTTTAAATGTTCATTGTTACATTAAGTATTTCTTTTCCGCATTTTATGATGTTCTAACTGTATTGTTTCTGTCATATATTATATTTCTTTTGTCAACTTTCTTGTCAAAGCAAAAGCTGTTGATGTGTAACCCAGGTGTTTCAAGCCAAGTCGATTGTGCTTTAAAGATACGTAACCTGGAAACTAAACTAGACTCCGTGGTTTGTACTATAAAAGACCGTCAAGAGCTGGAGAAACATGTGCCAATGCCTTCAGAAGTAGTAGTGGAGTATGACAAAGCAGCTAGTTTATGGTCCCTGCATGAACAAATCAAACAGATGGAACAGACTGTTGAAGAAGCTGCTCGGTCAAGTTCAAGAAAAAGTAAGTGGCAGTTCATGGGAGCAAGAGATGCTGGAGCAAAGGGAGAGCTCCGCCAAGTTTATGGGGTGTCTGAACGGACTGAAAGTGACGGCGCTGTTAATTTGATCCAAAAATTGAGGGCCATCAACTATGCACTTGGTGAACTGGGACAGTGGTGTGCTTACAAGGTTGTGTAATATATTCACTGTAGGATGTCTTTCCCCTCTAGTTATCCTTCTGATTAAATTCGGTTTTTCCTTCTATTTCTTCTTTAATAGTGTTGAAGCTATGTGGTTTTGAAAACTTGGTTATGGCTTCTTCATTGTTGCTTTGAAGCTCATATTGGTGAATTTGGAAGGTCATTTTGGTTTTGTAGATTGCTTAAACAGAGGGTTTAAGATTTTTAATTTTCAGATGCCAAGAAACATTTTGGACTATTATGTGTATAAGTATATGTCTGATGCGTGATTCTTTTGCAGGTTGCACAAGCTTTTCTGACTGCTTTGCAGAATGATGAGAGGGCAAACTATCAACTTGACGTCAAGTTCCAAGAGTCATACTTACACAAAGTTGTCTCCCTTTTGCAATGTAATCTTACAGAAGGAGCTATCATGGAGAATAGTACTGGAGGCACTGACAACACAGAAAGTCCTGCTGCAGAGGAGAATGGAGCTGATGAGCCTGAGGAGGGGGAACTTACTGACAGTCATGGTGAATTATTCTGTCTTTTGCTCGTTTATATTTTCCACATTTGCATTGCTATTGGGAACTACTGAGTGGTCTATCTCAATAATTGGATTCTTGTATGAAATTGAAAAGATAGCCCCTGGTTGTGAATATTGATAGCAGTCTAGTCAACCCAGGAAAATGTTATTCCATTGACCTTCATGTTAGCTGGTAGTTGTTTGACCAATGTTCCTAAACCAGGGTTGAAACCTGTACAGAATTTTTTTAGCACATATTGCCTATATAATGTCTACCTAACCTTGTTTAATTTGACTAGTCAAGTGTATAGTATTTAACATACCAGCTTTATGTATTAAGATTTTCTTGAGAAACTGTCCTGTTTATGCCACTTGTCTTATTTGTTTTAAGCATCTTGCGTGATTTACTCATTTAATGATTATTTTTGTTCTCTACTGTCATTAAGTGTTGGAATAACAAGATCTCACAGGTTTTTGATTTGTAGGAGAAAGCAATAATTTAAATAGAGAGTGATGCCTCCTTACAAAGACTTTATGCACGATAAGCCTTAAACTCTTAGTGTGTTTGTCTCATTTTGTTGTTGAACTTTGATCACAGTTTTCAAGGACATAGGGCAACTTAGTTTGTAGCTCGCACATTTCTTACCTTTTGCTGAAATATTCTACAACTATTTCAATTATTGTTTTTCGGTTATTGATTCAGATGAGTGCATTTGACATCCTATTTATTCTTAATACTATCTGGATGTGTGACTGGCTGAATGTGTATTTGATAGTTGTCTCTGGTGGAGAGCATGTTGATGTGATTACTGGAGCTGCTGTTGCTGATGGAAAAGTGACTCCAAAAGTGCAGTCATTGATGAAAATACTCTTGAAATATCAGCATACTGAGGATTTCCGCGCTATAATCTTTGTGGAACGTGTTGTGACCGCCTTAGTTCTTCCTAAGGTCAATTGAGTACATCAAGCATGTGGCATGGGGATTTGATTGAGATTTTATAGAACACTTATTCATTCCGTTTCACCTGCAGGTTTTTGAAGAGCTTCCATCACTGAGTTTTGTCAAATCTGCAAGTTTGATTGGGCACAACAACAGTCAAGAAATGCGAACCAGCCAAATGCAAGATTCGATTGCCCGATTCAAAGATGGTCGTGTATGTTTAACTATCAAGCAATTACCTCATATTAACCCTTAAAACTATTTCAATAATTTATTTGCAAATATTATCTACGCTTCAGGTGACTGTTTTAGTTGCCACTAGCGTTGCTGAGGAGGGACTTGATATTAGGCAATGCAATGTTGTCATTCGCTTTGATCTTGCCAAAACTGTACTGGCCTATATTCAGTCCAGAGGTCGTGCCAGAAAACCTGGATCAGATTACATCTTGATGGTCGAGAGGTAGGTTACCTTGGGCGATCTCTGTTTTCAGTTCTGCTGGTTTACCTACGGCGAGAATTTTGACGACTTAATGATTGTATCTGTAGAGAAAACTTGTCCCACGTAGCTTTCTTAAAGAATGCTAGGATTAGTGAGGAGACATTGCGGAAAGAAGCCATTCAGAGGACTGATATTAGTCATATCAAGGACACCAGCAGCATGAATTCTGCAGAGGCGCTAGCTGATTCTGTGTACCAGGTGGAGTCTACTGGTGCTGTGGTAAGCTTAAATTCTGCCGTTGGACTTATCCACTTCTACTGCTCCCAGCTTCCCAGCGATCGGTACTCTCTCTCTCTCTCTCTCTCTCTCTCTCTCTCTCTCTCTTTTTCTCTCTCTTCCTCTGTAACACACGCACAATTGCACATACTGTATTGATGCCTTTTTCCCTTCACTGTGTGGTTCCTAGAGCTTTTTGTGCTACATCAGTTAATCTATTCACTTTCTTTGCTCTGCAGGTATTCAATTCTTCATCCGGAGTTTATTATGGAGCGTCATGAAAAGCCTGGCAGCCCTACTGAGTATTCTTGTAAGCTTCAACTTCCCTGTAATGCGCCATTCGAGGAATTGGAGGGACCTCTATGCAAATCCATGCGCCTTGCGCAACAGGTGTGCTTCATATATCAAAATTGTTTGCTACCTTTTCAAAATGCAAACAGGTGCATATTTGAAGGATTGGAAATATGCAGGCTGTTTGCTTGGCTGCTTGCAAGAAACTCCACGAAATGGGTGCATTTACTGACATGCTGTTGCCAGATAAGGGAGTTGGTGGAGAAATGAACAAAATTGAGCAAAATGATGCGGGTGATCCTCTTCCTGGAACTGCCAGGCATAGAGAATTTTATCCTGAAGGAGTAGCTGATGTTCTCCAGGTTGGATCCTCCATCTCTCCATCTCTCCTTTTGAGTGAACTATTCATTTGTTGAATGATAGCAAAGCTGATATTTGATCTATATCCATTTTCAAATTGTTTCCAATAAATTAAGAAGTGTAATGATGTCCACCATTTAGAGTATTGTGATCAATGCTAACTTTCATAGTTACTTGGGGATCTCGTGATAACCATTAGATGGATGCTTACATTGTATCTGTCTCTGCAGGGAGAGTGGATATTATCTGGGAAAGACTGTGATGACTCCAAGTTGTTTCGCCTTTACATGTACTCAGTCAAATGTGAAAATGTTGGCTTCTCCAAAGATCCCCTATTAGCTCAAGTTTCAGAGTTTGCAATATTGTTTGGCAATGAATTGGATACGGAGGTATCTTATTCTTCCTTTTTAGATTTCTTTTAGAATTTGAGCCTTTGACCATTCAAAATAAGGTTTCTCATGCCCAGTCTTTTCTAGGTGTTATCGTTGTCGATGGATCTATTCATTGCTCGGTCTATGATAACGAAAGCATCTCTTGTCTTTAATGGGCCAGTAGAACTTCGAGAAACTCAGGTGCATTGACCATTTATTTTACTTTAATTGCTTTTTATCCTTTTGACAATGAAGCTAGTGAATAATAAAACTAACTGATACCTACCGCACACAGTTGATGTTGCTAAAAAGCTTTCATGTACGGCTGATGAGCATTGTGCTTGATGTGGAAGTTGAACCATCCAACACTCCTTGGGACACTGCAAAGGCATACTTATTTGTTCCTTCGGCTGGATGTCAATCTTCAGATTCTATGACTTATATTGACTGGGCTCTAGTTGATAAGGTTTCAAAGACAGATGCATGGGCCAATCCTCTTCAGAGGGCCCGGCCAGATGTTTACCTTGGCACTAATGAGCGGACACTTGGTGGGGATCGAAGAGAATATGGATTTGCGAAATTACGTAATGGCATGGCTTTTGAACAGAAATCCCACCCTACCTATGGGATAAGAGGAGCTGTTGCACAGTTTGATGTGGTAAAAGCATCTGGATTAGCTCCTAAACGGGATGTTATCGAACACCACAAGGTTGACTTAACCAAAGGAAAATTGATGATGGCTGATTCCTGTGTTGAAGCAGAGGATCTGGTAGGGAAAATAGTTACAGCCGCTCATTCTGGAAAGCGATTCTATGTAGATTCTGTTCGATTTGAGATGACAGCAGAGAACTCATTCCCGAGGAAAGAAGGTTACCTTGGTCCTCTGGAGTACAGTTCTTACGCCGATTATTATAAGCAAAAGTATGTTACTTTCTGCCGTAAATTTTATTGGGTGCATTATCAACCACGTCCCTCCTACTCCCCCATATGCAACTGTGTGCTCTTTATTCTGTGTGGTTCTCCTTCATTATGGATTCTTCTATACGTCCTGTGACTTATCTTCAAAATTTTGAATAGATGAGGATGTAATTCACTTTTGCTTCTATGAGTGAATTGAATATATTTGATGCATTAAGTATAATACCTAAAATCCATTTGCAGGTATGGGGTAGATTTGGTTTTCAAACAGCAACCTCTAATTAGAGCCCGTGGAGTTTCATACTGCAAGAATCTTTTATCCCCTCGATTTGACCACTCGGATGGTATGCGTTTTGCAGCAACAAATCCTCTACTTATCCTTTTTTGCTAGAAATTTTGCTGTGGAATAGAATTTTTTGTGAATCTTCCATTGTAGGTCATGATGGTGAGTCCGAAGAGATTCAGGAGAAGATCTATTATGTCTTTCTCCCTCCTGAACTCTGTTTTGTGCATCCCCTCCCTGGATCACTGGTTAGAGGGGCTCAAAGATTGCCATCTATAATGAGACGGATTGAAAGCATGTTGCTCGCTGTACAGCTTAAGGATATCATTGGATACCCTGTTCCTGCTACAAAGGTTTTTGAATTCATCTGGAACTCCCTTCTTTCAAATTATTATTTTATTCTGCATTTTGCCTGAGTGAAAATTTCTATTTGCAGATTTTGGAAGCGTTGACTGCAGCTTCATGTCAGGAGACTTTTTGTTATGAAAGAGCGGAGCTCTTGGGAGATGCTTACCTAAAATGGGTTGTCAGTAGATTCCTTTTCCTTAAATACCCTCAGAAGCACGAAGGTCAGCTTACTAGGATGAGACAACAAATGGTGAGCAACGTCATACTTTATCAGTTTGCATTAGAAAAGGGGCTTCAGTCATACATACAGGCAGATAGATTTACCCCATCCAGATGGGCTGCACCTGGCGTGCTTCCCATCTTTGATGAGGACACCAGGGAAGAAGAATCATTTTTATTCGAGTCGGAAGTTGATTCTAACGGGACTTCGAGTAAAACGATACACGACAGTGATATATACGAAGAATACGAATTCGAAGATGGAGAACTTGAAAGCGACTCGAGCTCGTACCGCGTGCTGTCTGGGAAAACCCTGGCCGATGTCGTCGAGGCTTTGATTGGCGTATATTATGTCGAGGGCGGAAAACATGCTGCTAACCACCTAATGAAATGGATCGGTATCGATATAGAATTTGACTTGAAAGAGATACGTTGCTTGATTAGACCTGGTGATGTTCCCAACAGTGTACTGAGGACCATCGATTTTGATTCTTTAGAAGGTTCCTTGAACCTCAAGTTCAACGAGAAGGGTTATTTGGTGGAGGCCATAACTCATGCGTCTCGGCCATCTTCTGGAGTGTCTTGTTATCAGCGGCTGGAATTTGTTGGTGATGCTGTTCTGGATCATCTCATCACGAAGCACCTCTTCTTCACATACACGAATTTGCCCCCGGGACGCTTGACCGACTTGAGAGCTGCTGCTGTGAATAACGAGAATTTTGCACGTGTAGCTGTGAAACATAACCTTCACATACACCTTCGTCATGGGTCGACTGCCCTTGAGAAACAGGTACTTTGGATTTCTTTTTCTCTGCATTTTCTGTTTAAGGATTTTAGTTGGACACTCCTTTGATTTAATTTTATCCGCTGCTTTTCAGATTCGGGATTTCGTGAAAGAGGTTCACGACGAACTTTTGAAACCTGGTTTTAACTCTTTTGGTTTGGGGGATTGCAAAGCTCCTAAAGTTCTTGGAGATATTGTAGAGTCAATTGCTGGTGCTATCTTTCTCGACCGAGGATGTAATACTGCAGCTGTTTGGAAGGTTGGGTTATTGTTTTTTATTTCTTCTTGGAGTGGGGGATTGGGGGAACTTGCGACGCTTATTGGCTCCTCAAGTCATGCTAAATTATGTTCCTGAACTTTTAAAACGTTTGCATGATCTTACGAAAATCTTATGGAGAGTTGATAAGGTCTCACGATCATATAAATATATTTATCTGAAGATGTCTCACTTAGCTGACCGAGTAAATTTGCTTATATGACCAAAATCTTGTCTTGTCCATGTTTATGCGGGCCCTTAGTGACTTTCTTTTACTTTTGATCTGACTTCTTGTAAGAAAATATATATACTTCTATTGGATCATAAGACCCATTGTTTATGCATTCATGGCACGTTAGTTCTTTAATACTTGCAGAAATTTCGGAATTTGGTTGAGCTATAAGTCGTAAGTTGTTCTTTCTTATTTCTCAGGTCTTCCAACCTTTGTTGAACCCAATGGTTACCCCTGAAACACTCCCGATGCATCCTGTTCGAGAATTACAAGAAAGATGCCAGCAACAAGCTGAAGGTCTAGAGTATAAAGCCACCCGAAGTGGAAACTTGGCCACTGTTGAAGTATACATTGACGGTGTTCAGGTAGGCATCGCTCATAATGCCCAAAAGAAAATGGCACAGAAATTAGCAGCCAGAAATGCTCTTGCTGCTTTGAAAGAAAAAGAGTCGGCTGAGGCCAAAGAGAAGGAGAAAGGGGAGGATGACGGGAAAGATAAGAAGGATGGGGGCCCAACTTTCACAAGACAAACGCTGAATGATATTTGCTTGCGTAGAAATTGGCCGATGCCCCTATACAGGTGAAGAATGTTTCTCCATTAAATATTTGACACCTGATATTTTAGTCGAGTTACGTAAACTCTGGTTATCCTTCGGGAATTAAATTTCTCGTAACATGTTACAAAACGTGCCAATCTTGTGTTGCAATTTGTAAAAGAGAAACAAAACTCAAGGGAGTATATTATTTTTTTTTTTAAAAAAAAAAACATAACCGAGTTTTTAGGAAATAAACAAAAATTTTTAGGTGGTTTTTATGATTTAATAATTTACCCCCTGAAAGAAAACAGAATAAAAACAAATAAATGGAAAGGTTAAATTTTTGAGATATATGTTATAATGTAATCCTTCTTGGTTTAGGTGTGTGCATGAAGGTGGTCCTGCACACGCGAAACGATTTACATTCTCTGTACGCGTGAATACTTCTGATAAAGGATGGACGGATGAATGCATTGGTGAGCCGATGCCAAGTGTTAAGAAAGCGAAAGATTCTGCTGCTGTTCTGCTCCTTGAGCTCCTGAACAAATGGTACGCGTCATGATTCTTTTAGGTTACACTGAGTAAAAGTAATTCTAAAGCAACGAAATACGGTCTTTTGGAGATATCACAACTTCCATACTTTACAGGTTCAAATAGAATGATTTATAGGAAACTCTATTTCGATTTATTGTGGGCTAATGTTGGCTGTCTACTCGAATATATTTAAATGTTGCCCTTTTTATTAAAGATTAAAGACGTGTTTGGCTTGATGTGGATATGCTGAGGAAAGGTGAAGATGAGAATTTGGAAGTGTTTGCACTTTCTTCAGGATTTTGTTATCGGACAATGGAAAATTTGGGAATATAATTGTTGACTGACTACATGGTGAATGTTTTTTCTGCTTTGATTATCATCCATTTTGAGTTAGTCCACTTTGTTGTTGGGTAAAGGTGGAGAGACTTGTAAGCTGTTATTCGAAACCAAGCCGGACAACTAACCGAGCTTGTTTATTAAACATGAATTCGTTTAAAGTTTTCGATTCCTTGAATGAGCCGTGCTTGAGCACGAGTTCAAACATAAGTTAATTGATTCGGCTCAAATAATACCTTGCCTTGGGGCGCCAATATTGAAGTTTAATGTTGTGAATTGTGTATGGCTTATTAAGATCTATACTGTACAGGTAAAGACTTGGGAGGTTCTATTCATTTGAGATTATGATTGACATTTTTAAAACTTTTTAAAATCCAAGCCTTTTTAAGATTTTTGGATTTAAAAAGAAATGCTTAGGGCGTGATTGTATATGAATTGTACAGTAAATATCCCAATCAAAACTCAAATTTAATTCTACTTTAACTCAATTCCACTATCTCCAATATTATCAATATAATTAAATAATATCAACCAATCATTATTACACATCACATCAATTTTAATTAACTATTCATCCACTCACATAATTTTAACTAACCATCACTTCCAATCATTTTCTCCTACTTTTCCATCAAATCAATTTTAATTATTTTGATTTAAATATTATTTTAATATATCCACTAACAACTAACCATACTATTTTTTCTTAAACTCAACTATAGTTAAAAAATAACCAATTTTTTACTAGTTGAATTCATATCCAATCACCTCCTTAGAAATTTTAAAAGTCTAAATGTGAGATTTGGTGGTGGATTTGACATATGTAATTTGTTTTTGAAATTTCAATTTTTAAAGAGTCTTAACAAATTTCATTGTTAAATAAGTTGGTATGTAATTTTTAAAATCTCAACAAGTCGTTAGAAATCTCAAAGCCTGACTTTATAGTATGGATAAAGCTATTAGACAAATGTGGTTGTTTGACAAAAATAATGTGAAAATTCAATAATTATTGATTTTAAAAAAGTAATAAAATTATGTAATAACATGTGTTATTGTTTTATGATATGCTATTCCTCCCATAAACTTTAATGTTACCGGGGTTGTAATAAATTTCTCTGTATTGTTTCGGAAAAGTGATCAGCTTTAAGTGCAGCTGACATACAAATCACTATGGTAGAAACAAAATCAAAATGTATTGGGTGATTTTCTATGAATTATCGAAGTTGATGTTTCTTGATGGCCAAGCTAACTTTTCTCCAGTCAACCATCATAATTTATTTCTCCAGTCAACCATCATAATTTACGTGGGTCTAATTCGTGCGCACGGTTCTGCATATGTCAACAGAAAATTGTCGTCTATATATACCCTGGATTCTAGAGATTTGAATTTAAATTTGCTTACGTCATTAGTGGAATCATGGGTTAAAAGTGACAAATAATATATTATATTATTAGAAATTGGGGGAAAGTATAATTTTTTTTTGGAAAAAATGCATTAATTTCTATATTAAATAAGCCTAATGCTTAGATAATCATATTTTTTTTCCAACAATTATATATACTTTCAGGTATGACTTTTCATGCATTTTTATTAATCTAACTAATGTTTAGGCTGTCCCAGTAACGTAATTAAACATTTTTATTAAACAAAATATTGTGTTATTAAACCAAATTTTCACGCGCTCTACAAAGTTAACACACCCGTCTACAAGTCATGTAGACTCGAAAAGTCAAAATCTGAATAGGCACGAAAAATACCAAGGGCCAAAAGTTATATACCTCATAAAATATCATCAATAAAGATAACAAAAGGGACGCATTGCTACAACTTTCCGACCGTGACAACAATCGCGACGACACGTGGCATTAAGAATATCATAAAAATCTGCGGCGCTTGGAAAAATATCCGGCTAGAATCAAAACGGACATATAATAAAAACCTCAAAAACCATTTAACAGCAAAAAATAATTTTAAAAATATTGTAAGGTGCGAGTGAATATAAGATTTTATTTAACATGTCTTACACAACATATTTACTCATACGTGGTATTATCGATTCAATTGAATACCGTATATAAATCTTAATATCAAACATAAAAGAAAAAAAAACTAAAAATCAATAACTATATATATTTACTAAGTCTCAACCCATGGAGAAGATAAAAATAAGACTACAAATTCAACTTTTTATTTTGTAAGTCAATAATTAGATTCTCTTTTATTTTTTATTTTTTCTTTTCCTTGACCAGTTTTTTCTCTGATATTACTGTAAATTTCAGTACAATCGGGTGTTACTGTAAATTCAGTAATTTGTGTCGTATTTAAAACACTAGTTCATATAATATAAGATTTTATATAAAATATTAAGTGATGAGATATGTAGTTAGAAATACATATTTTAACAAAAAACTTTAGAAAGGGAGAAAAATCCTTCCCAACCTAAAATGCCAACCAAAGGACAAAAATCGATAAATAAAATAAACAATAAAATCAAACTTTTACAGTTCCTCGGAGCTCACCCCAGGTAGCTTGGAAACTCAAATATAGCCGCCTCTTAACCCTTCTTCCTCTTTCGATTTTCATGCTCCTATATTCTATTTATTTTTTCTTTTCTTTTTATTTTTCATATATTTAGTTTATGTCTATTCCCTTCCTTTGGGTACTTTCTCTGGAGATTGTTGCGTGATTCTTGAGGGCGCCTGAGGAATCGCCATTGTAGGTACTTTTGTCTCTGTATTTTGCATTTGTCACTTGAAATGTGAAAGATTAGGACTTTTTGTTTAAAGTTTGCTCTTTTTGGTTTCTTTTTCTAGTTTTAATGGTGATTTGCGCTGGCTGAAGTGTTGTGCTGTGGTTTTTCTGGTTTGATGTGATCTTTTGTAATTTGGGTTGCTGTTGGTTTTTGGTTATTTTCTTTATTTCTTTCTTTTTTTTTTTTCAAGATTTTGTGTTACTCTCTGTCTCGAATCCAAGTTTATCTGCATTGTCCTTGTGGCGAATGGTTTTTTCTTTGTTTTTCAATGGTTTGATTTGGTAAAGATTGTATCTTTTTTGTCACAGATATTGCATATTTATTGAGAATTAGAATATAAGCTTGGTGTGAATCATTATTTTTTGGGAGAATATTCTTCCTGCTGAGGCTGAATATTGAAATGATCTGGCCCCTTTTTGCATCTACTGATAATCCCCAACTTTCAAGTTTTGAAGCTTTGTTATTATCCTGTTGTACTTCTTTTTTTGTTGATTTTATTTTTATTTATTGATTTTTAATTTAAGTGTCCAAGTAGGTGTGACATGTAGATAACAATTGGTACGGCTATCATGACCTGTTTGTGATAAATTATGGTTTACTTTTGTTTCTGTATCGTTATTCTTTCTGAATGAATGTGAGTATGTACTATTACTGAAGACATTCGATCAAACGTGGGAGAAAATCGCTGATGCTAATGTCCATCTATACTTCCAATTTAATGGTGGTTGGATAATTTCTATCAGTAAATCATTTTATATCTATTTTAACAGCTGCCAAGGTTTTACCTCCCAATCTGCACATCAAAAAAGTTTTGAACTTGTGGATTGGATGCCCGTTTTTGGCATAAATTTGGATCTGTGCATTGCTTGCCAGATAAACACCATACTCTATTTTCAATCCAGATGGCTGTTATATAACTTATAAGTACTCCAAGTTGAGTTGCTTTTCAATGTTTAGTTTTCCTCTTTCAATTTGGTTTCGACACGTAAACATTCCAGCTTTTATCGTCAACTGTACACTGATAGTTTCTCGACACTTTATATTATATAAGAGCCGATCTTCATAACGAGCTCTAGAAAAGAGTGACTCAGTTTCTAATATGATGATCCTTAAGTTCTCTTCTTTCTTTCATTTTTTCCCTATCTAAAAGCTGAAAACCACCTTTTCCCCTTTTCTAACACTCCCTTAAATTAGTCTTTGTTGATCTTCGGTAGTGCAATGGAAATTTTGTCATTCTTTATTTCCTGATTAAATAAGATTTCTTCATTGTTCTCTTCACATAAAGTTACTATTTTTTTTTTNAAAAAAAAAAAAAAAATGTATCTTGATGATGTACATTTGCTTCCATTAACAAACTGCGATCGTTAACTTTTTTAACGTTTGATTTTTACATTCAGACCATGTTACGTGCGAAGCAGCTCGGCATACTTTCGCAGTCGGCTCGTTCCTTCTTCCTTAGCGGCTCGAGATGTAGCGCAGCTGATGGGAGCAGTTCTTGCACTTGCTCGGACGATGAGAATTGCATTTCCAAACGGCCCTTAAGAGCAAACTTACTCTCAAAATCTCCTGTGGCCGTTAGCCCATTAGCTGCTTCAGTCGGTTTAGTGAAAACCGAAGCAAATGCCAACAAAACATCCGAAAACGGCCCTTCTAATATAAAAGAAGCAGATTCCATTAATTATGGCAAGGAAATTGTACATTCGTCATCACCGGCCATAACCGACCATTTTGTTAAGGCGGGTATGGCAGCAGTCGGGCTTTTGTCCGATTTGGTAAATTATAGGATCCCAATGACTGAAGGGAGCTCGATGCTGACATCATCATCACCTCATTCGGTGGTCGAACGTGTGAAGCCGATTTCTACCGTCAGGTCTGTAAATACGAAAATCTCCAAAAAAGACAATAAAGCCTACGTAAAACCGTCCTCCGAACAATATGGTTCAACTAGTAGAGATAGTAATAGATCGTTTTCGGAGAAAGGTGGGGCGAACGAGCAGACTAATGTATCGGGAAATTTTGTACAGAATAATGGAGAAGCTCGCGACAGAATAAAGTCCATTCCTCAAAAGTCGAGAGGTTATTCAAATCGATACACGCCAAACACGCCACAATCAGACGGGAAATTCAATAGTAACAGGTCAGGAGGTTTTACTTTTAACAAAATCAGAGGAAAACAACCAGTTGTAGAGAATGTTTACCTCATTCTAAATCAGTACAAATGGGGGCCTATGACAGAACAAGCTCTAGGAAGGCTCGACTGTTCGCTCGATGCATACCAAGCGAACCAAGTGCTCAAGCAGCTTCACGATCACAACGTGGCTCTCGGTTTTTTCCACTGGCTGAAAAGAAAACCGGGCTTCAAGCACGACAATCACACATACACTACCATGATCGGGATTCTCGGCCGCGCCCGACAATTCGCGTCCATCAACAAATTACTCGATCAAATGGCGAGCGACAGCTGTCAGCCGAATACCGTCACCTACAATCGCCTAATTCACAGCTATGGCCGAGCAAATTATTTAAAAGAAGCCATGGCCGTTTTCAATCAGATGCAACGGGCCGGGTGTGAGCCCGACCGAGTAACCTACTGCACACTCATCGACATTCACGCGAAATCGGGCTATCTCGACATTGCCATCGATTTATATCGAAAAATGCAAGAAGTCGGGCTTTCGCCCGACACCTTCACGTACAGCGTGATCATAAACTGCCTCGGGAAAGGAGGCCACCTGGCGGCGGCCCACGAGCTGTTTCGCGAGATGGTTGATCGAGGCTCATTGCCTAACCTCGTGACTTATAATATAATGATTGCTCTTCACGCGAAGGCCCGAAACTACCAGAGCTCCCTACTGTTATACCGTGAGATGCAGAGCGCTGGATTCGAGCCCGATAAGGTCACGTACAGTATAGTTATGGAAGTTCTCGGCCACTGTGGCTACCTTGATGAAACCGAGGCAGTTTTTGCCGAGATGAAGAGGAAGAATTGGGTTCCGGACGAGCCCGTTTACGGGCTTTTAGTCGATCTGTGGGGAAAAGCTGGCAATGTGGAGAAGGCTTGGGAGTGGTATCGGGCCATGCTGAATGCGGGCCTACGGCCCAATGTCCCCACGTGCAACTCTTTACTGAGCGCCTTCCTTAGAGTCCACCGTCTTCAGGATGCATACAATTTGCTACAGAGCATGATTGGGCTGGGCCTGAGCCCAACTCTCCAAACCTATACTCTCCTCCTCAGCTGCTGCACGGAGGCCCAGACTTCGTTCGAGATGGGCTTCTGCTGCGAGCTGATGACGGTCACGGGCCACCCGGCCCACACGTTCCTTCTCTCCATGCCGGCCCACGGGCCCAACGGGCAGAATGTACGGGCCCACGTCAGCAAATTCCTCGACATGATGCACAGTGAGGATCGGGAGAGCAAGCGGGGGCTTTTAGATGCTGTGATTGACTTTTTCCACAAAACGGGCCTTAAAGAGGAAGCGGGCTCTGTTTGGGAAGTTGCTGCGCGGAGAAATGTTTATCCGGATTCGGTTAGGATGAAAGGAAATTGCTATTGGCTTATAAATCTGCACGTGATGTCTGATGGGACAGCTGTCACTGCACTTTCAAGAACTCTCGCGTGGTTTCATAGGGAGCTGCTGGTTTCGGGTGTGGGCCCGGCCCGAATCGATATTGTGACGGGCTGGGGAAGGAGGAGTCGGGTTACTGGTTCGTCTCTTGTGAAGGAGGCTGTTCGGGAGCTGCTTGACATGTTCAAGTTCCCGTTTTTTGTGGAGAATGGGAATTCGGGTTGTTTTGTTGGGTGTGGGGAGCCGCTTAACCGGTGGCTTTTGCAGCCGTGTGTCGAGCGGATGCATTTGCTGTGAGGTTGTTGTTTTCTGAAGGGGTTTTGAGGAGGGGGTATTTTGGGTATTGATTGATTAACAGTGTGGATTAACAAGTCTTGTTACGTGGAGATGAATTTGGGTGAATGTAATATATCTTGAGTTAAACAATCAAGTCTTGACGACTTGTTATGTGAAGGTGAATTTGGGTGAATGTAATAGTATATCTTGCATTTTGGTGTGATGGGTTTTTTTTTTTGTTGGTTTCACTAGTGATGTGGTTGTGTGGCATTATGTTATATGTTTTCCTTGTGTGGTTGATGTTCCTTGTTTTTAGCTGAGTTCAATAATTGGCTTTCATGGGCTGCATGAGAGGTTACTGGAGTTTATAGAAGTTGCCTCTTGATTTTGAGGCAAAATTGTTTGTGTGGTGACATGGTGGAATCTATGAGTTCTTGAGGACATACATTTCAAATGGCAAATTCACAGTTCATGAAGTTGGGTTTGTTTGTTTGTTTTTTGTTTTTTTTTTCCAAACTTTTTTTCTTTTAGAAATTCAGAATTTAGGATATATAAATTTCTACAACTTCTGCGAAAAATTTTTGTAATCCAAATATTACTATATAATACCTGTGTACTATACGAGTGATTGATAAAATAATTGAATTTGCAACAGAAAATGAAAAAAAAAAATTGTTATATATTTTGTTGAAGTTGAAAAAAATAAATAACGAACAATTTATAATAAAGAAATAAGTGAATTAATAATATTATTTTAAAGTATGAAAGTTAATTTATATACATTACATCACTAATTTTATTTATAATATCTATATCTATATCTATATCTATATAAAAAGGTTGTTGGAAAAATACATTAATAGAAAGTTTGACCAAATAAATATAATGTTTGACTTACTACTAATGAAAAGTTCGAAAAAATACATGTGAATCTTTAGTAACAAAATCTGAATACTATTTTTTTGGTAACAAATTTGGAGATTCTTATGGCAAAATTTGAATCTTATTTTTTTTGTATCACATTTTTTATTTTTTTTACCAAAATTTATATCATATCTTTTCTGGTAACAAATTTGGAGATTTTTATGCAAAAATTGTGTCAAGTTTTATGAAAATAATTCTAAATACAGAATAATTTAAAAACCGTGCAAATTGGATACAATTTAGGAAAAAAATAGTTGTATAATTCTTAACCAATTCTTCAAATCTTATTGTATAATTTCTTCTTAAAAAAAAGTGTGTAAATTAGATAAAACCACGTGCAATTTTTATTTTAAAATAAAACTGATATTTGGACGGGATGTACATTCAAAATTGTGTCCAGATTTTTTGGTAACAAAAGCGGTTTATTTTTTATATTTAAAGTCACCTAATCCAATTATTTAGAAAATATTGTGTGCATCTTTTCAAAATTTAAATACATCGATTTTTTTGAATTCTTATTGTTTTCTTAACCATGTTTTACCGATATTTTGGTAAGTTAATATCATTTTTTTATTCGGTTAAGGTCATATCATTTTCTTTAAGAAAGAGACAGTTGTATAAACATTAACAAATTATTTCAATTTTTTTTTAGAATTATTTTCAATTCAATTTGTTCGGTAAAAAATTGGTGCAATGTTAGAAAAATTTGATTGCATTTTTAGGAAAAATTGATGATTTTTTTTTTTTATTTGGATTAATTTGTTTGATGAAAAAAATCAGTTTATTGGTAGGAAAATCGGTATCATTTTCAGGAATAACTAATGATTCTTTTCAATTTTTTTTAATTGAAATTTATAATTAGATTTAAAATAAATAATGGGTGAAAATTCCTAAAAATTTCTACTTTTCTACTATAATTTTGTTTAATAAAAAAGATCCTTTAATTTTTTTAAAATTTGTTAATTAATAATATGCAATTTTAGATAAAATTCGAACACCTATGTAGTACTTTACGCGCCAAAGAATCAAACCAATAATGTTGTACATAAAGAAGTGTTTAATAACATATAAATTTCATTTTCAACATATTTTTAATACCATGAGACAATTTAAATACAAAAATACCTTTTAAAAAGTAAATAGGTAATAAATGCTCCCGTGCATCGCACGGATACCGTACTAGTTTTATATAAAACACATAAGGGAATATTATATAGACAATAGGACAAAGCACAAAATTTGGAAAGTAAGACCATGTACACATTAAGGGTTGGAGAGCTCTCGCCCCCGCTGGGTCCGAGTTGCTTCGCCACCTAGCCATCCCCGGCCATGGACGAGACCGCCGGCAGCAAGAGTTCAGGCCCCAGCCTCGAGGAGGTACCGACCATTGTTCCGCCGAGAGTCTTGTTGTTCGTGTTTTGGGTCCTTTAGTGTGGCTTGCCGTCCAATTCGATCCATCTTTCGAGTACTCCAGCGAGGCGTGTTGGTGTCATCAGCGGCTTCCTCTCTTCCCCCGAGCGTGGATGTTCTTCGGAAGTTCAGATCTGAACCGAGAGCAGTCTCTTCTTCAGATCCGTCTAGGCGGCACGAGTAGCCGCAATTTTCGGGCTTGAGGTTCCGGTTTGTGGTTTTGTTGGATATCTTTGCTAGTGGGTGTGGATCGTGTGTGGTCCCGGGTGGTTAGGCATCGAGTCTGTTAGGTGTAGGGGAGGTACTAGTTTATTTGTACATTAGGTGTGCGTTTTTTCTCTTTTATTTTTGTAGTGCGTAGAAGTCCAGCTGCGTCTGACATCCAGTCTCCTTTATGGAGTTCCAGTCTCCTTTACGGAAGTAGGTCTTTTGTGTGTGCGGGTGACTTCTTGATGGAGGTTGTACCTCTCGGACACAGATATGCTTTCGAGAGGGTAGGTCCAGTTTTTCTGGGTCCTGTGTGTCAGTTGGCACTCCTATTGTACTCGGTTGAGTTTTTTAGTTATTAATATATTTATCGTTTGGAAAAAAAAAGACCATGTGCACATTATATAAAAAAGATAATAAATAGAATTATATGGAATAGTTTAAATATATTAAATATGTGTATATATATGACAATTTGAACCTAAATTATTTAGCATAAAAAATTAGTTATTTTTATTCGAGTAATATTTCAAAGTATAATATTTTGCCACATAAGATTACGAAGCATGAGAAACTGTCAATAATTAGGCTTAATGCATTATGAAATTATATACAAGGGATATTCTTAATCACTATACATATTGATGAAATTTGTCATTATGTAGGCCTAGGTGCACATTTTTACTTTTTCAACATTATATGTATATTTTGAAATTAAATTATGAAAAAAAACGCGAGATTCTCTTTATAACATAAATAAAAGTATAATATTTCATAATATATTCATATACTTTTTGTCTAAAAAATATATGACAAAGAAAAATGATTTATGCTATGTTTTGGTCCTAGGAACTGTCCTTTGGCATATTGACAGCTTTTTCTTGCACAAAGAAAAATGATTTACTGAAAAGAAAAAAAAAATATTCTTAAATAGGTGGCTAACCACACCAACGAAAACCCAAAATTCCCGTAAGTTTGTTTTAAATTTTAAACACAGACAACACTTTATGATAACTGCCTAAGTTTTCGCCATAAGAATAGTGTTCCGTACGCGTACAGTACATTGTGATGTACTTGAAAGTTGAAAGTATCACGTAACCATGAATATGAAACTCAAATTATGATTTAAATATCTTTTTCTCAATCCTTCTGTAAATAATAAATATCAAATGAAGTTTTTTGGTATTAGAGTATTCTTCATTCACGTATTCATAAACAATTATATAAGTGTCATTAATCTAGTAGAATAAAACAAGAATTTGCAAGTTCGGGAGTTCAGATCTCAATTTTTTTTATTTTTTTTTTTTATGGATGATTCAACTTAAAATACAACATGTGGAAGATCATCCTTAAAGATTTTTTAGCTCAGGTTGCAACAAATTCTAGATAAAATTTAAATAATTTTAGTTAGAAGCTAATCTTATCTTTAAGTTAAAAAACAATGTGACAATGGACCAAACTTAAAAAAATTGACCACCAAAGTTAATTAAACAATTAAATAATCAAACATGTGAGCTGCCTAACGCTAATCATTTGTAGTTTACTAGCTTAGTGAACAAGCATTAGTAATTTTAAAATGATTTTTTTATTCTTCTCCCTATTATTTACTCTTTTCTTTTTCTCATTTATCTATTTATCTATGTAGACAGCCATGAACAAATAAAGGAGAAACCGTACTCCCAAAAATCGGAAACTCTAGCAAAATAGGACTCTGCCACGTCCCTAACGGTCTTGAATTTCAAAGAGAAATTTCCCTTCATTTCCGCCCATGTTTTTACCAATTCTTTTCACACTCTTTTTTCCCATTCACCATTTTCCACATAAAATAACACTTCCCAATTCCCATCTGATCATCTACACTCAAAAAAACACTTCTCTTTCCCCCAACATATTTGTTCCTTTCTATTTGATCTTGAATTTCATTTCAATCTTCTTTTTTTTTTAAAAAAAAAAAATAAAATTATGCCGGGCCTCGAGATGACTCTCAAGAGCGGCTCCGGCCAGGCTTGCGCCGCCTGCAAGCACCAGAGGCGGCGGTGCAACCCCGACTGCATTCTCGCACCATTCTTTCCTGCCGACCAGTCGAGAGTTTTCCAGAACGTTCACCGACTTTTCGGAGTCAAGCACGTGCAGAATTTGCTCAAGAATCTGGGCCCACACGAACAAGTCATGGCCGTAAAGTCTATTAAATTCCACGCCGCCATGCGAGAGAAGTACCCAGTTTACGGGTGCTTAGTCGAGATACAAAACCTCGGCTATCAAATTCAAGTGGCCGAGGAGGAGCTTCAGGTTCTTCTCCAGCAGCTCGTCTATTACCGTCAACAACAACAGCAACAACGCCAAGCTGGCGGCACGAATGATTATAGTTACCCGTCATCGCAAGTACAGTTAGGTATTATTAATCCATCATCACATGCCGGTTATTTCAATTGTGACCGGAATTTGGAGGAGAAAGAGAAGAATGATGTTGATTCTAATTTGTTTATTCAACAAATGCGTAACTATGACAACATGAACAACGGTGATTCTTCGGTTATCGTGCAATCTCAAACAACTACGAATATGCCTGTGCCTGTGACAGTCCCACAAGAAGAGATGCATTCATTTTTTGACAACATTGATGAGACACAGTCATATATAGGCTGCAAGGAAGTGTATGAATCCAGGTACACCTTAATCTTTTTTTATTATTATTTTTTTATTTTTTTTTTGTGTGTGTTAATGTATTACAGGAAAATTNTACAGGAAAATTCGGTTTGTTTTTTTCCCAACCACTAGTACACATTGATAAATTCTAGAAGTGTGAAGATAGACTAAAACTGAAGGCTCACTTATGCAGTTTGGAATCACCATTCAAAGATTCAAAGCATTCTACGGAGCTAATGCCAGAGAAGGAACTCAAGAGTGCCGCAGCTTATTTTAGCCTTACAAGCGTCCATTAGTTAAAACCGGATCAGAAGAGATTTCTCAACAAGTGAGGTGGCTCGGCCTACTTATATCCAGTTTTTGCTTTCTTGTTATCAGCTTCTTAGAGTACCTGTCAATAGCCTAGTACATGATTGTTTCTCGATACCTATTTTCCTACATTTGCAAGTTTCATATTAAATGAACTACAACATAAACCAAATGTTTGTTTCGAGGGTCTGCTAAAGGGAAGAAATATATTCAATTGTGACTGTGGCAAATAATATCATTCTGTCTACTCATTTTCCGTCTATTGATCACCAGTTCTTACACGTGCAAGATGACGTGTGACATGAATCTTAAAGTTAACTGGAACACACTTGTTGATTCAGAAATACTTTGGGATCACCAAAGCATATGTAAGACACTAATGTAACAAAACTGGAACGAATTATTTTGGAATATTCAGAAACAATAAAACGAAAAGGAAAAGACATAAATGAATAACAGTATTCAGTTATCATGGCAGAAGAATAATGTAGCAGATCAGAGGGAATAGGATAGTAGAGCTTACATATACAAAGCAAATGGCACCCTTCGTATCTTAAATTAATAATCACAGATGTCCTATAATCTTTTCTAGCATGATTCATACAATTACTATATTGACAGATTGACCGTGATAAACCTGAAAATGTATCTAATTTACAAAGCCTATCTCCTTAACAAAAGAATGGTGATAATTAGCTAAAACTAAGTTTCATCTACTGAATAGTGCTACTCTTTCTTGTCAATTGCATAAATCATATATGAATAAGCTTGTGGTATAATTTCAGGAAATACAAACTTGCCAAGGATTTGGTTCACAATAGCCTTGTGTTGTACGAACCGCAATACAGGCACTTGTGGTAAAGCCAGTGAAAAGAGGCAGTTCCTCTTTTCTCGCAGTCATTGCATAATATAATCTGCATATCCATTGTACAAACAATTTGGAACGTAGCTATAGATCACAAATAATGTTGCGTAGATAGCACATAGTACCTGAGTCTGGCCAGCGTGCTCCGCTGGAGTTTTCTCTTCAGCTAACAAAGCATCTAACATTCCGAAGTACACCTGAATAGGTGGCAGTTTTATACTTATTTTTCTTTAAACCATAAGCACAATTATTATACATAGGGGACTCGAGTTGCAAGTACGAAAGTTTCTGATTAATGCCTCTGCAGTTTTTAAGGTTACACAGGATACACAAACAAAATGGCTAAAAAGACAAGCAAAATGAGATAAATAGTTTTTAACTTGGTACACAAAACTAAACAATGTTAACAGCAAAGAATGACTAGAAAAAATTCTAGTTGATTTTGTGATACTTTGTGAATCATTCAAAGTGCATCCACTAATGTTTTGCTCTCATAAAGCTGAATCTAACTTACTTCTATCACTTTTGTTAAAGCCTGAACATGTAACATTCGGATTTCATGAACTCTTTTAGCAGATAATCCTGCTCATTCACTTGATCCAATGTTTTAATCATGTTGAACATTTGTTTCACATGCTTCGTGTTAAGATGTATTGATTCTTTACTGAGAGTAGCTGCATTCTATGAGTGATCCTTATGTATCAATTTTGAAATTGGAAAATGTACTATGGTTGATGATGTTGATAACATCTCTCAGATAAAAATAATAATAATAATAAGCTGCTGAACAGGTGTAGATAGGGGCAGCTAACATCAGAGAAATTGCGAAAAAATGTTCATTAGATAGAATGAGCTTATAACGGTGGAAGCCTTTATCAGATCATATGATGAGTAAACCTGAGGCTCGTCAACCGTATATAAATAATATTTGCTGGTGAAGATTGAAATGAACATGCACTTGCAATCACAAATATAGAAATAGCATGTCAACTTAACAAAGAAAGACTGGAGCTGTTAGCTGATGAACATATTACGTAAAAGGATATGAACTAACCTGCATGTCGCCTAGTGACTTGCTACAGATTGGGCAAATGTAGTGTGAAAAAGTGTAGTCCTAAATAGCAGGATAAAAGAAAAAAATCATGTCAATAATTCAACCTTTTATCTTATGAAATCTGGTGAAGATAAAAATCTAAAAGACGAGATACCTTAAAACAAGATGAATGCATTAAATGCCCACATGGTAGTGCCTTCACAGGAGAGTTCGACGTGAAGATGTACTCATGGCAAATCGGGCAGTTATCCTCAAGGCATTTTTCTCTACATACATGCACAAGTAGAGCCCTTGACATACATGCATTGCACTTCATGCAGTGGAAGTAATCAATGCCCAGACCTTTCCCAACTCGGCACAGATTGCAGTAAGGGCAATGGTATATTTGCCTGTCAAATTTTCTTTGTCAGATACTTCAGCAACTTAAAACATTAAATCTAAAGAGCCTTTGTATCCATCACTAGCTAATAGCATGATGCTGCGAGGACAATATGCTAATAATTCAAAAAACTGATCAACGTGATCAACTAACCGTTCATCATCGAACAACTTGCAGATCCTGCAGGAGTATCTCCCCATAGAGAAACCATTGCAAGATTTGGTCATACATGTCGGTCCTATTGGCTGAATTACCAAGCATTTCATGCACATCATTTCTGTTATAGTTTTTCTGCAGAAATAATATCAAGAATGGGTATGCATATCAAAAGAAATGAATGTAACACATTATTGGAGCAGCAACCTAAATTCATGAAAGTCTGACTAACCGGTCAACGGAATGATCAGCCAGGTCATCATGGCAACGTATGCATGTGTAAAGCTTATTGCAGCATGGAGCAAAAAGCTTACAATTCCTCTTATAATGCACGCAGCCAAAAGTTAACTTGAGAGAATCTCGATAAGATGGACTTTGACCTGGAATTTCTCCCTCGTGAATTGCCACAGAAGCCTCCTCATGAGACATCTTTTGCTTTATAAGCCAACGACTGTAATTAAGAAAAAAAAAATATGGTGTCAATTCTAAGGACAGGCATTCATAAACAACAAATGACAGCCGAGAGACTAATTAACTACACTTAAGGAAATGAATCAGCGCTATCATTCATAAGACAAGAAAATTAATATCATTACCTCTACTTGAATTATGAATTTACCGATATAGTAACCTAGTAGTTTCCTTCAGAATTTTATAGACCTCAACAGAATATTTAAAATTGAATTGAAGTACTATGTTTCATGTTACCTCATTAGCAAATTCTGGATTATATACGATTTTTTCTGGAGATCTAAACTCGAGTCACAAGATACTCTTCTTATCATAGCTTCAAGAACCTCCTGATCCATACCGAGAGGGTGCTCTTTGTGGCCTAACTTCTGACATTGTTGGCAGCTCTCACTTGTTTCCTTAGATCTCTTCTCATCAACCTCACCCTGATTTTGACTTATACCTTCAGGTGGGCATACATGACCTCCATTGACAAACTTTGATTCATCAGTATTGCAAGCTCCAGAAAGCCTACCATCGACAGAGGCAAAATCCTTTTGTGTCCTGTTATCATGACCACCTTCTAGACTTCGAATGTCATCCGTTGATAGATACCTCAAAACAACTCCCAAAGGGTCAGCAGCCAATGAAGGAGAAGGCCCTGATCTCTTTTCCGCTTCAGATATGTTATTATATCTTGTCATACCATCCCACCACTCATGAAGCCATTCATCAAACTTTGTATATCTCGCAACCTTCAGCCATAAAGAAATCACGGTATTCTGCTCTTCAAAGTTCAGATGTGCCATTAACCAGGGAATCTTTTCTTGCAGAATTTCGGCTCCCGTCATCCCAAGCATGTGGCCCACAACTTTTTCTTCTTCGTCAGTCGAGAAGCATCCTCTGAACAATGGAAAAATTTCAACTTCTTCATGGTGGATATGGTCGGATAGCACTTTATGCATGGACAAGCATGTTTCATGGAGCTTTAAACACAACTGATACTTCTTTTCACTAGTTTCACTACCCGCCTCATTATCAGGCAGTTCAGATATTTGATTCAGGATCAAGGAAGTTCTCCTGAAATGTATAGAGTCCAACTTATGGTCGATGCAGTAGGAACGACTTATGTTTTTAAGTGCTCCCTTTGATTCCAGAGCGGGAAATGCAATTTCATCTTCCGAGTTGCTGTGAAGTTGATAGAATTTACTGAGAACTCCGAACCGGTTCTTAAACTCGGCAAGAACTCCAAAATTTGTCGCAAGCTTGGCAGATAAGCTGATGAGACACTCCATTTCTTTAATGAGAGCTCTATGTATATAGAAGACCAGGTTCATTGGTCTGGACTCAAGAGTCTGAAAAGTTACAAGATTCTGTTGCAGGGGTGGTGGTCTTTTAAACATTTGGGAGAAGAATTTGTGAAGGTTCATGCCACTAGGAGAAGATATATCATGTTCATTAGTACTTACAGAATCAGAAGGTGAGGGTGTATCTACACTTTTCTTCATCATTACTGCTGAGTTTATTTCGAGCTCATTTTGCTTGGTCAAGTAAAAGCTTCTACCATTAAATGTCTCTTCCAAAGTTTGTCTGAATTTTTCTGTGGATATTTTTCCTGAACAGCCTATATGAACCCATTCATGTAGTAGAGAGGTAAAAGACTTATTTACCGAAGGACATCCCAGTTTCAAGCATTTCAGGATTGCATTGGACTGGGTATCACTTAAGTGAGCTGAAAACCAAGTGATAGTGCAGTTTAGCAATCCAAGAGGCATCGTGTGAAGAGTTGTGTATATTAACCATAGCTGCATTTCATGGGCACAGCTCTCATTAATGGATGGAAAAACCTGGAAGAAACCGAATTACAAAGTTACTAAGTCAACAACCTAACTTCTAATAGATAAAAAGCTAACAAGAAAAAGAAAAAAAAAAAACGAATATGCATGCATTCGCATGTGGATGAAAATGTGAGTGTCGAAAAAATAAAGACGATGTAATCTCTTAGAAATGAATAACTACATAATTCTCACATATATTGTTGAACAGACTATGATGGGAACATTTTTTGAGAAATCAATTATACAGTCATCTAATTGGTGTCATAGTTTGGATTGTGTTGAAAATCCGGGAAATGCATTTCAATATTTATGCAACATCCAATTTTAGTGTAGTTAGTTTTGTAGACAACTGTACTTGACATTGGGGTAGCAGTGAACATGCAGCTTACTAATTATGCTTATTTAAACTGTTTCTGATTTATTTATTTTTTTTAATCTGGAGAAAAAATTGCAAATTCTACCTCTGTGTCAAGAAAAATCAGGTCCTTGGCAAGCCCCTCCACGAGAGATTCCAGCTCCTGACAAAGCAGCTCTATGAAGCTTCTTTGCTGTTCTGAACCTTGATGTTCACGAAACAGCAACCATTGAAGACCTTTGATCTGGTATTCATCAATGAGTGGAGTGCAAAAGGAAGGGGTGTTCTTGGCAAGAAGCCTTAGTAATTGGTGAACAAAATTTTCCAAAGAGTTGCTGCAACCAAAAGACAGATCAAAATATCAACAGGCATCAAATGTGACACACATAAGTTTTCAGAAGCCGCATTTTCGCGATGCACATAAGTAAAGAATTAGGATGCATCATCCATGCCCAAACATATGGTGTCTGTTAGTGTTCCCCGGCCATGGTTAATGACAATGTAAAGTGGTATATCATTCCATTATAGGCATCTTATCCATCTCAGTTATGGAACCATTTCTAGACCTGATGACTGGATACAAGAGAAAGCCATTGCATCATTATAAGAACATAAAGTATAATTCAACCTCAATTTATATAGTATTTAAAGTAGAATGATTCTTCAATCATGGTGGTTACCTGTAGAAGACCAGGACATCGGCAATAAATTTTATGTGAAAAATGACTGATGATAAGCTTGAGAGGCAGTTTGAACTTCTTATTTGATATAATTCCTTGATAATTTGATTGAAACCTCCAGTGAGAGTAGCATGCCAAATATAGATGCCCTTGATGGGGCCCTCAAAACCACTTGATTCCAGTGAACATGCACTCTTGAGTTGTTCTTGCTGTTCACAGCCAAACGGAGGTGGATAAAATTCAACGATACCCTTGGAACCAGACAGTCCATTTAACAGTTGGTACCCTTTTCCATATCTATTATTGATCTCAGAAGAAGGTCTCCCCTCATGCTGAATCCAGGAAGCAACTACCTACAAAATCACACAACAATTAACTCGACAAATTAAATTCATAGGTTCAAACTTTTAACTTAGAGCTTACCTCTTGAAGTTTTGTTTCTTTAGGTATGATAAGCTCTATGCAGTCCAGAACATCTTGTTTTTCTTCTGAGGTAAGAAAAATAGTCATCCATGAAATAAACTCCTCTAGCAGTATCATGGGAACACTGCACATGTACTGCCGGACAAGCTTAGACTGTTCTTCGGAAGTAAAATGCTCTATAAGTGAAGGAAAAACCTGCATTTAAACGAACATTCAATAGAATATAAAAGGAAAGAAACCTCAGTTTAATTGGACTGGATATTTGGGCAAGTAATCAGGCAGCAAGAGCAAGTGCCAATAGTTTTTTCTAGTAATGTAACCTATCCCACACAAGCAAATTATTTGTGCTATACTTCATTTAACAGCAAAGAAAATTAAAACCAAACTTGTTGAACTACAGTTTGAGCTTGATATTAAACAGATTTCTTGGTCATGTTTTTTGACATAGGTTCGAGTGTTTAGTTAAAATGCATTTTAGAACTCACCTCTCTGATAAAGTAATTACAACATTTTGGGGATTAAATAAGGACTTCAGAGAACTTGGACTATTATACATAAGAGCCTTAAAATATATTATTTGGACTAAGGAAAAAGTTATATCAACTTGTTCTATTAGAATAATAAGTTTATGAGCTTGATCCTACAGGGATAACAACAAACAAAATAGTCAACGTATTTGCTAGGTAGGTACCTGTTCCTCTTCTTTATGCATATGCTGACAAATCATTGTCTGGACAGTGCCAATAGAAAAAAGAAGGTCTCGCAACATTTGAGGAGTATCATCATCTTCATTCATTAAAAGATCCAATTGATGGAAGATGGAGCTGAAGGTATCATCAATAGACTTGTGTTCCAGAGCATACGTCGGCACCACGTTCTTTACTATTGCATCTAATGCTAGAAAGACCACCTGTCAGATTAACAAATTAAGTTTTGTAAACTTCTAAATCATTATCACCAAGGGTACAAAATGAAATTTCAAGTTCATTTTTTGACTTGTCCATACAGCTGTTACCGAGCCGATCTAAACTTGTTAAGTTAACGAGGTGATATATGATAAAAGTTCAGGAAATTTTGTGAAAAAACTATACGTCAATTCTAAGGAGCCGAGCCGAACTAAATGAGCTCAAGCTCAGTTTGTTTATCAAAGTAGAAGAGCCGAGCCGAGCTCACGAGCAGCTCGTTTAGTTTAACAGCTCAGTTGCCCAAAAACCTATACAGTGAAATTCCACAAATGGTTGTTGATAGCCTAAAAATATTTGTTAATTGAGTTATAAGAAAACCACCGACCAACCAACAAACCAAACACTTCAAACTACAGGATTTGAGCTCAATTTCAGGAAGACAGCAATTCCATAAATAAAAACGATCCATTAATTTCCAAGTAAACCTAACCTCATCCTCAGCTGCAGAGTGATAACTATAAACAAGCTTCAGGAACTCCAACCTCCGACCGAGCTCAGCCACGAATTCCCGGCGCGCGTCCCCGCTACCGGCGGCCTGCGCCGCCTCCCGGCGGACAGACGCGAGCTCCGCCCGGAAAGCTTTGTGAGTGGTGACGAAGAAAAGCACCGGCGCATCAGATAGCCTAGCTCCGGAGACCGAGGTCACGGCCGGCCATTCCTCCTCCTCCTCCTTCCCGAACTCCTCGCTGGCCATTAATCGACGCGCCGCCGCAGCCGCCGCCGACACCTCTCGTCAACAGCGAGGGAAGGGGGAAGCTCCACCATTGCAAGGTTCAGCTCGAATTTAATGGCTGCGTCTCATCTGTGTGAAAGTAAAACAGCAATTTTGAACTGATTTTTTTATTATTAGAAAAAATGTTTGAAAAAATAAAGTTGTGATTTGGACGTTGTACCTATCGTGGTGTATGGCGCCATAGCCTCATGTTTTTTTTTTTTGTTTGTTCTGTTTGGCTCGTTGAATGTGAGGGTTTGGGGGACCAATAGGACGGTGACATGTTTGCAGATATTTGGTACGTCCGATTAGGACAACGAGATGGTTCTTTTGACGTAGCGTGGACATCGTCACACAATATCCTTTTTGCTCTGAATGCTTGTACAAACATTTTGAAGGAACGTGGTTTACACGCTCCTTATAACACAAATCCGTTGACTTATATTTAAAATTTTTATCTTACATTAATTTTTTTTACCATTTGATGTGTTTAAGTTGTAAAGGTATTTATATATATTTTTTTTAACATTTTTAACCATTGACGTGTAAGTTGTAAAAATAATTTTTCTCAACGATAACAATTTTATAAATCTAAAAAACGAAAGTAATTATAAGGTCTGATGTTAACTGACATCAAACACAACTTGAGACTAAATATGAGCTCAAATTGAACATGATATACCGAATAGAAGAGATAAATCCTATAAAAACCTAAACATAAAATACTACAATATTAAAGATAAATTCGCACAACACAGGGTGCCGACCTGGATGTTGGGTCTAGGGGAGCCGACCTAGAAGCTCTGCTTTTAGGGATTTTTATTATCTGCTAAGTTGTTTTTATTCGGGATCCCTATTTTCCAACTCGGATATCAACAATATATTTTATTGCACTAAAGCATCAACATAAAATGCAAAATAGTTGTAGTTTTGAAGTAACCAAACAAATGTAGGCAATTTTCCCATTTTACGAATCCGATTAGACAAAACCGCTACCCGTTAGAACCCTGACTAGAACCCTGACCCGAAACCACACAATATCGAATCCCCCAAATCAATCACACTATCCCGACACCGTCCTCCGCACAGCCCTCTGCAAAAACAATCGAATCCCAGAGGCAACATCGCTCGCGCACGACGTCGTTTGAAGCTCCTCGCGAGGGACAATAGAAGGAAAAAAACTCGGGAAAGCGAAATTGGATATCAAATCATTGAAAAGCCGTCACAATGGTGAAGACGACGAAGGGTGGTAAAACCATGAACCCTACCGATGCCTACCGCAAGGAGCTCCGCAAAAAGGAATTGAAGCGGGTAAAACTTGCATAAATTTTTTCTTCTTCTGATGAGTATCAGTTTGCGTTTGTGTATTTTGGTTTATTATGTGGATCATATAGGATTGCTTGTGCAATTGGATTTTTTTATTTTTTTGGTGTCGGATTTCGCTTATCTATATACAGCATTTACTAACTCATTTGGTTTGGTGAAGCTCATTGTCATTTTTTTATTAATGTTTGTTTTGGCTGTTTCAAAGATGTTTCATATGAAAAATTGAGCAAATTGCTGCATAGAAAACAACAAATTTATGCAATCCGATTAATCGCCATTGAAAGATTCAGATGGTTAGCAGCAGTATCTTGGTTCATTATGTGGATTGTTTAGGACTTATCTATGTGCATGCATTTTGGTTTTGAAGTTTGAGTTTTTCCCCGTGGAGTGTTTTCCCGCTGAAGTCAAAATTGGGCATGTATTGGCTCTTGGCATTTAGTGAAGCTGATTATCAGGGTTTATTTATTTGTTTGTTTTTAATTGTTTGTCTGCTTCAAAGCTGTCTTGTATGAAAATGTGAAAATGTGAGCAAATTATGCTATTTGATTGCTGTCGTTGAAAGATTTAGATGGTTAGCAGCAGTATGTGAAGTATTGTTGTTCAATCTAAAGCTTCTGAAATGGGTGTAATATCATTTTTTCAGAATAAGAAGGAGAGGAAGAAGGTGAGGGAGGTTGGAATCTTGAAAAAGGATCCCGATACATTGAAAGACCAAATTCAGAAATTGGAAGCAATGAGTAAGTTCCAATGAATCAGATAAACCATTTATTTTGTGTAGATGGTAACTACTTGGTACGTGGTGCAGCATATAAAGCATTCAGACTGTGGGTCAGCTAATTGAACTTTGCTATTCTACCCTCTTATAGGGCGCACTGATGATTGGTGATAATAAGTATCATGAGAAGGCAAATTTTGAATGATAGAGGAAAACTTGTAGCTAACAGTTTTTTATTGAATTCATGCTCCTTAGTAGGAGGGGGTAAGGGCTGGAACTTGGGCTGGGGGATTTATATTTTTCATCATCAGTACGTACATCTTCATAGTCTTGCTCTTCTGTTCTTTAGTATTGAAAAAGAAACCAGCGGGCATGTGAGTTTTGATTATGATAGACTGCAGACGCAGCTGTATAATGTTTCCATAATTTTTAGGTTAAAGTTAACTCTTTAAGATTTACCCTTCCTGTTACTAGGCACTTCTATATCTAGGTTTCAGATAACTTCTAAACTGCTGTCGTGTTTTCTGATATGAATTGTATTCAGTCACTTCAACTAATTTTGTTCTTAAATATATGACTCACTTCTTCATTGTATGTGTGTGCATAGATGGGCTTGCATCTTTATCTTCGTTTCGTTAATCCTTGCAGAGGCAGATGGTGCTCTGGACAAAGCAAGAAAACACAAAAAGAGACAACTTGAGGATACGCTAAATCTTGTGATGAAGAAGCGGAAGGTAATTGCTTAATTTAAACCATTTGAATATCTTATTAACATAGTAACTGAAGATTTTATTTCCTTCCACCAGTTATTAACTTGTAAGACTCATTGCTAAAAAAATTGTATTTAGCAAACTTATCTTATCAAAAATAGCATCTACTCAGTTGAAAGTCGGCGCACACTGGGAAGGCAAGTGAGAGGCAGATGTGCCATGGTGAATCCTTTCATGTTTTATCTTCAGTAAGGCCTGTTAGGGGCCATTTGGAGATATATTTTTGGGAATTATGTTTTTAGATTTTTTAGATAACACATCCTAGGCCTTTCATAGTTGTCGTTGCTGATAGGCGTCAATTACTTTGAAGGAGATACTATAATTAATAGACAAACGATTCATGATTATCTAAGCATTTTCTATTTTTTTTTTCTCAATTTTATATTATGATATTGCTAACAGTCTACTTTCGTTGTGTGGTAAAGGAATATGAAGATAAAATGAAAGAAAAGGGTGAAGCACCAGTTATGTTCAGGTGAAGCTGCCTAACCTGGTTCTACCGTAAATTAGATGCATTATCTATACTCCATTGAGGTATGGATGCTCATACTAAATTGTGAATTCTAAAGTTCAGTGGTATTACCCTTTCTGCAGTCATTTGGGACCTGTGAGGAGGCGAGGTACTGCAGAAGAAGAAGAAAGAGTCAACAATCCCAGCCCTGAAGTAAATTCATCTCAACTTTGATATTTTCATTATATTTAACTCGACTCATCTGTCAATACACTTTCAACAATTTATACCATGCAGGACTCAGTCTATTATCACCCCACTCTGAATCCTTCTGGAGCTCCACCACCTGGAAAACCTCCAATGTTCAAGTCATCAATAGGTTTCATTAATCCTTTTCAATTCCATATTCCAAAAAGATATGCCTTGTTATATTTATTCACCTTGGTTTTTTTTTGTTTTTTTTTTTCCAGGACCTAGAATACCCTTACCAGAAACTTCCAGCAGTAACGTTGCATCATCATCAAAATCGGAATTGGAGGATACTACTTTGCCTATGCCCCCATTACCACCTGGTCCACCTCCACTGCCTCCTTTGTCGAGTGGAGGCTTAGATTCTGGGGACGGCTCTACTTTGCCCGTGTCATTGCCTTTGCCGCCTCCACCACCAATGCCTCCAAATCCACCAGTGGCCGGTAATAATAATTCATTACCTCTGCCGCCATTGCCTCCCCCGCCTCCACCTCCGGGCCCACCGCCTAAAGAACTACTTGCTGCTCGTCCCCCACTTCCTCCACCTCTGCCCATCCACCAATCCTCCCAGCCACCTCCACCTGGTACTTTTAATGGTGAGAAACCTGCAAATACAGATGAACCACCATCCAGGGACTCGATTCAGGTATTTGTTTTTCTTTTGAATATGTACTTCCATAACTGCAAATATAATTAGGAAAACTATCTGTCAGCTTAATTACAAATGATCTTACCATATCTTAGGAACATTCACAAAAACTACCCCGAGTTTTGGGTAATTACATAAACAAAAAAAGATGTTTCGATTGTTACAAGAAAAAAGAACATTCAACTTTCGTTAGATCTCATTTTTATCTTCGTGATGAAGTTTCATAAATCCCGTTGCAGTTATTGATATATTACAAATCCCTCTTAAAATTAAGCCAAGCAAAACCTTTTATTTTTATTTTCTGAAGCCTTTTTGCAATTCTGAGGATAGTTCAAATGACGACTATAGTCGGTAGTTCTCCCTTATATTTTATTGACATTTATAGATGTTCGCTTAAGGTCTATGATTTATTTTTCTTTTTTGACCTTTATAGATATGCATCTTGGGGGTTATTTGTAATATTGATGAGAATATATTTTTGCACAATTCCTCCAGCAAGTGTAATTTAGTGAGAACTGATTTTGCTTAATTTCTCCAGCTAGTGTAATTTATATACCCAATTATCTGCATAACCTGATTCACCTGGCATATAATTTTTAGCTGATGACTGTTTCATGGCTATCTTGTCTTAGATGCCTGCAAATCTTCCTCCGCCTCCCCAACTGGTGGGCCAGCCCCCAAAATTGGGCAATAATCAGCCGGACATCTCATCCTTCGAATCTGACTCGAAACCTTCCTCCGATGCCAACGATAGTCTGAAAGCGGCCTTACCACCTCCGCCCCCACCACAGATGAGGCAACAGCCGCCAGTACCTGGGCCGGTGGGCCCAAATTTGCAGCCCGATATACTTCCTCATGGCATTCCGGGCTTTCTGCCTCCACCCCCACCTCGACCTCCAAGCGATATGTTGCCCTCATTGTCTGCACCTGGGATTGCCGAGCAACCTGTGGCGCCACCTGGCGTTGTGATGCCACTTCTTCCGAGACCACCGCCTTTTGGGCCACCTCCTTTGATGATGAGGCCACCACTTCCACCGGGCCCACCTCCTTTTCCGCAGAACGATCTCATGGCTCGACCGTTTGTGCCTCCGAAGCCATCATATGTCAAGTCAGCTGCATCGACTGTTGTAAAGAGGCCTCTGGCACAGCATACTCCGGAGCTTACGGCGATGGTGAGTTTATCTGCTCCTGCATTGCATATTTTGGAGTTATTGCTAAAGTAACCCGGTTTTCCAGCTTTTATTTACCAAACTCCGTTTTTTTTTCTTTGTTTAAATTATAAATATCCACTTGAACGTTTTGTGATAATTGCAAGAAAACCTAGCTAACGTTTTGTGATAATTGCAAGAAAGCCTAGCTACCCTTCAGTTTGATACTTTGATTCTCTCATATGTAGTGCCACAAGACCCTTAACCATTGATGTTGTGATGGTGCTGATGACATCTAATTTTTATACATCACTTTTTCAAAATTGATGCAACTGTCAGCAAGGATGGTACTTGTAACTTCCTAAGCTAAGCTATGTTTTTTCTTGTAATTGTGTTAGACCACAAGGGTCATGTTTCTAGTTAACCCTTCATTTTATGAGCTTAACTATCCCCAGCGGGGTTTATTTTCGTAAACAAAGCATGAAGAGTGAGACCTCTTAGTAAATAAACAAAGCATGTTTTTTTTTTTTAATCTCACACAATACTAAAATCAGCACTTATGAACTAATTGATTATCCCCTATCTTCTAATCTCATAATAGTAGTGAAACCTTGTCTTTTTTTTTTTTGCAGGTTCCTGCATCTGTACGGGTGAGGAGGGAGTCGGCCCTCCCAAAACCGAAGTCAAAAGCCTCTACCACAGTTTTGCCTTCCAACCAGCCTATTATATCAGCTTCACCCATCGTGAAGCAAGATATAAGTAGCTCGTCCTCTGCACCAAAACCACCGAGTATTGATGACTCGTATATGGCATTCCTTGAGGACATGAAAGCACTTGGTGCGCTTGATAGTTGAGCTACCTCAAACACTAGAAATCATTGGAAGCAATGGGATTAAACGATGAGTTTTGGTATGGTGGCTCGGGAGTTCAAAATAATTAGGCGTACCATTATTCTAATAGATTTATACCCGTTCGTGCTTAAAATTTTAGCTTCTTGCAGGCTTTCTATTCACTGCGAGAGTCATACTCTCCTGTTAAGTACAATGGATAGAATCGACATTTCCGTCACGTTGCATTGTCTTGTTTCTTTTATATCCATAAGTTTATTTGCATGAATTTATGAAGATGGCAGCTTGATGTTAGCCAGACTTTAAAGAGATTGTGTCTGACTGACTGACTGACTGTATCCTAACCTGCTGACTAATTCAATGCACTCTCTCTCTCTCTCTCTCTCTCTCTCTCTCTCTCTNTACCAAACTCTTTTTTTTTTTCTTTGTTTAAATTATAAATATCCACTTGAACGTTTTGTGATAATTGCAAGAAAACCTAGCTAACGTTTGTGATAATTGCAAGAAAGCCTAGCTACCCTTCAGTTTGATACTTTGATTCTCACTTTGGCTTTGTTTGGTAATCAGTTAATAGCTGTAAGTGGATTGCATTAGCTGTTTTGACCAGCGGATTGAATTAGCTGTTTTGACCATGATTGTGTTATAGGTTTCTAAAATAAATATTTGGTAAAATTAGCTGTTTTTAGTTAGATGGTTAATATGTACAATTATCATAATTTATCATTCTTATTTATGTTGAATCTATACTTATATAATAAGAATTAACATTTATCCAAAATAGTAGGTCAAATTATGATCAAAGTCGGATTTTCATTAAATATTTTTCAAAATCGGTAAGTTTTTGTCCTTTTCACACTTCTCATTAATTATGTCCTTTTCACACTTCTTATTAATTATGTCTTTTTCACACATCTAATTAAATCATTCCATATGAGCTTTTATCGTTAAAATGTATAGCGATTTATTATGACATTATCCCATTGATATTTCCATGAAGCGTCCTTAATGCGTTCTATTTTTTGGTAACCACTCCATATCAATAACTGGATATTTGGTTAATGATAGCACACGTCTTTATTTCAAGGAACGAATATTCTTTGACCTTTAATTAATCTGAACTGATTGCCTTGACTTTTTAATTTTTAAAAACTCTTTTTTTAAAAACTCTTTTTTTATCGCACGTTGGTCTTTTCCTGAAGAAACCTGTTTTTAGTCACGGCCAATTATATGTTGCTGCTTCGCGTGTAAATAATAGAAGGGGGTTGAAAATATTAGTTTGTGATAATGAGGAGTTACCAAATAATCAAACTCATAATGTTGTGTACAATGAGGTTTTTAATAATTTATGATTGTTACCGAACTTTTTATGATTCAACGATGTTCCTATGTATTTTAATGATTTCAATTTCGATCCTAATGCACGTGAGATTATATTATTCTTCCAAATTTTACATCCCGTGCATCGCACGTGTTACGTACTAGTTTATAATTATTTAGGAAATAAAAACAAGTATTATTTTAAATATTTATTGAAGAGATTTAAAATATAAAAAAATATAAATAATAATAAAATAAAAATATTTCTTAATTGAATAAATATGATCACATCATATAAACAAAGCTAATAACAAGTCATCACTATTTTAAAAAATCTAAATGTGAGGCAATTACAATATATCTCATTACAATTGAAAAAAAAAATCAAAGTAACTAAAATTTACATATAAGTAACTAAAATTTACATTAACAATTTCTAAAAGTTCTCATGAACATCTAAGTAACTAAATACATCATTCATTTAGAATGTTTTTTCTCCTTTTACTTTATTAGATTTTTCTTACTGTCTGAGTGTTCCTAAAATTTTTTTGCACTAGATTTCTCAAATATTTTGGATGTTTATGTAACTTTTAAACTTTTTTTCACTAGATTTCTCAAAATGTTTGGATGTTTGTACAACTTTGAGATATTGTTTTAGGAGATTATGTGATGAAGTGAAATATATGATAGTGTATTTAAGTAGTTGCCCATATATATTTCAGATTTTAGAAAAATAATTGGTAAAATTAGTTGTTAAGTTATACTACTATAATTAGTTGGAATGGAAAAAATTAAATATTATTTTTATGGGTGGGATAAGAAAGTATGACGGTGCTAAGCCGCTAGAGCAGGTTTTTTGTGATGACTTATCGTTCTTGCCTGGTGAACCCCAATCTTCATCTCCTCTTCCCCTCGATGTCATAGTGCGTTTGCCAAGTCTTTCTTGTGACTCTTTTTAATACCTGACTCCGAAGTTAGGATATTTGGCTTTCAATGCTGAACATCGTAGTTTCGGTAACTATCTCACGAACTTCCCTCCCCTCGTGGGTCAAAAAACATTTACCAAACATTATTTTCAGATGGTATATAGTCAAACAGCTAAATAACTGAAACCGCTCAAATTTTTGTTGATCTATTGAAAAAAGTGATAGTTAGAAAAGCTATTTACCAACATTATTTTCAGATGGTATATTGTCTAAATGACTGAAAGCATTTTCGTATTTTTTATGTGCCTATATTTAGCAAAAATAATATGTACAGAAATCAGAAGATTTGGAAAATTGTGAAGTTACCTACTTAATTTTCTTTGGTTTTTTAGAAAAAAATAGAAGTATTTGTTTTAAATTTTAGATAATTTTTAAAAATTGTATTATTATTTATGTTTAATAATAACACTAGTACGACACCTGTGTACTACTCGGGTGAATGAAAAAATAATTTGAATAAAAAAAGTAAAAGAGTTTAGTTATTAGAAGTATATACAAAATAAATAAACCAAATTTTTATAAAACAAAAACTACTATACATTTATATTTTATTTCGAATACTTAAAAAAAAAAATTGTATATAACATTATTACTTCTACTTAGAATTTATCAACTTGGATAATAGAAAAATATGATGAATGGGCCAAAATTTATCAACTTGGAAAAATAAGATAAGGGATGATAATTAAGATACGGGCTAAAATTGATGGGAATTAAGACAAGGGACATGTTTAGTTAAGATTTATATTTAGTTAAAAAATAAAAAATAATGATGAATGGGATAAATCCTTAGTAAAATGAAATAAGGAAATAAATATTTGTGTGATCTTTAAATTTAAGACACATTTGGTAATTAAAGAGAGATTGATGAGAGGCAATAATGTATAATGGAAAAATTATTTATGGCACTTTTCAAACTAATTTTGTTTCCAAATTTTTTACAAAGCATAATATTGTGACATGTATAATTCCAAAACGTGTGAGCCTGCCATTAGACTCAACACATTTTGAATTAATGTATAGAGGGCATAAATTGTGATATGTAGGATTCCAAAACGAGTGAGCCTGCCACTTAATATCAAACATTTTGAATTAATATATAGAGGTGATGTTATTTGAACACTTTATTCATTTTATATTATAATAATCTTTCTAACTCATCACATAAAACGTTTGTATAGTAGAATTGACCTATAAAATAACAAAGAGCTATACTCATAAATACCACGATATAGCTCAGGACATATGATTTAAAAGAGTTGAATCAGATATGTGCCAATATGGTCCAGTGGTCCACCGACCTCGGAGCAAGTAGGAGTTATCGATGAGGGTAGTGGCACATCGAAATAAGGACACCGGTTATCTTCTTAAAATAAATTATTACTTAATTGATACACCTGTTGGAGTATTCCATTTATACTCCATTTTATTACCATTTTGTATTTTTTAATATATTATTTATATTCTATTTTTTGTTTATTTTGTTCACAGATTAAACCGCTGTGACAGTTCCTTTACCTTTTCTCTTTTATTTATACCTTCCTTATCTTATTCTCGTTCTTCTTTTTCTTTTTTTTCTTTTTTTTCTTTTTTTTTCTTCATTTCCCAAAAACATCAATTTCCTTCCTCATCATTTCTTTTAATTTCATTTCGCATACCTGGGATAAGCAAGTAACTCACGGTGAGTCTTCGAACTTGAAAAAATCAACCGGCGTATAAAGGCTTGTGTCGGCGATTGACGAGTTCGCAGGAAGTTCTTGCGGTTTCTATTCATGAAAGGGGCGGCTAGGCGGGATTGGCGGCAAGTGGTTGACACGCCCGATATTATATTATGTTGATGACCTATTTTATTTCATGATTTTTTTGGTTAATTTAATCTCATGAGGAGTTAAAGATAAATATTTACGATTTTTTTCAAAAAACTTCGGTAGATTTATTTACTTTTCAAATTCAGATGCAATCATGGCAGCGATGAATGATTTGGGTCTTGTATATGTTTAGATATGAGAATTATATGTGGAGATTTGATTTTTTTTTTTTTTCAGACGTCATTTTTAAGTTTTTTTACTGATTCTGATTTCTTTAAAACCTTAGTCGTGTTTTCGATCATCACCAACTATGTTTTCTGATGGTTTATTTGTTGTTGCTTCTTGGTGTATGTGATGTTTCTGTTGAGTTTCTTATTGTTGTTTATTCCCTTGTTTCGGATGGTAATTCTAAGGAGGTGTATATTTGTTTGGCTCTTTTAATGCAATTTTTTGTGTTGTTTTTTTAATATTTTTAATTGTTGTGTATGTATATAATCTATGATCTTTTTTTTGTGTGTGTATAATTTTTTTCTTATGAATTAATGTGAAGAAGAAGAACAAGAAGAAGAAGAATGTGTCGAAAAGGAAAAGGAGATGGAAAGAAAAGATAGAGAAGAAAGGAATATATTTTATTTTTGGAATATGTATCAGTTTTTTTTTTTAACGTGACAGTTTATAATGGTTGGAATGAAACGGGATAATTTTGGAATTCGATGTACATCCTATCATTAATGAAATTCTTTTTTATTAACTGGTTAGTAGCCGTGGGACATCACATGCAACTAAGAAATCACATTTAGAAGGCTTGCTTATAAATTATTTCACTCTCGTTAATTTATAATTAAAATTTAACTCAATTTTAATTCAATTTTACTGTCATTAATATTATTCATATAATTAATTAATACAAACCAATTATTTTTACACATCACATCAACTTTAATTCACTATTCATTTACTCACATAATTTTAATTTCCTAACATATTCAATCATTTATCTCCTAATTTTACATCAAATCAATTTTAATAATTTTATTTTTGATATTATTTTAATACATAATTAAAATCCTATTAACTAACAATACCACGTTTTTCAAAATTAACTCTGATTAATAAGAAAAAACTCATTTTGAACAGATTATTTAGTAAACAAACGTGCCCTTAATACCTCATAAAGTTGACACATGTACACTAAAGTATTGTAGCTAATATATAAAATGGCTCCATAAATAGGACTTGAAACACTTTAAATGCATGTACATAATAAAATGCCGACCTAAATGTTTACTGTAGCTATATACAAATATAGAACTATATATGTGCTTGATGTTGAATTTTACCTTATGCGAAAATAAACTTGGCTTTATCCCAAGAGCATGCATATTGAACAATTAAGAATCAAACCGAACAGCGCGAAAGCGTACCTGAATTCATTCAATTAAGAATTCTCATGTATTATGTTTTTCTAAACGAACTCGTTGGACTGATATGCTCTTTCAAACGATCGAACCCTTATAATAAATATTGTAGTATATTATAGAATATATTTTCTATATGTTTTTTCTGAAGTATGAAGGTGGTGCTTTTAAAGGGAGAAAACACCTCTTCATAAATCTACTCGTACTTTTTCGATGTTTGGGACTATAACCAAATAAGAATTATTTGATTTTCAGTTCGGTTCCTCAACAAACAGAAAATCCTAAAATGGTATTTACACTTTCAAATTCATAACAATTTGATACTCTTTTTATTCAAAACTATAACTTTAGTACATCACTTTAATTGAATTATATTATGGCAATTATACACATTTAATTTACTCATAAAATATTTGTAACACTTGATTTTAATTTTAAATAGTTATTCATTATATTGGCAAAATAGATTACTAATACCACATATCATGGAGTAATATGATTTTATAGAAAATTCAATCACTCTCGTGCTTCTTGAAAAAATCGATCACTCAGCTCTTTTTGTTAGATATAGATAGTAAGAGTAAGACTAAAATCTTTTGAGGTTTAAACTTTAAAGAAGTCCTATTTGTAAATCATCCATGTGGAACAAAGTAAATGCACCCAAATAATAAAACAACTTCTATCCAAAAACCCTGTCCCTCAATTGTTTATCCGGGGGAGAAAGCTGAAAGAAAGCATACAAGTTTTCTTCTCAACTACCCAATTATTTTCATTATTTTACACCATTAATGATGTGTGAAGTCAAACCTTGTGAACTGCCTTTTGTGCAAGTTGAGGGGCACCAATCACCATGTCAGTTCACAAGGGAAAATGTCAAACGCTCGTGTGAGAACAAGACAGGAACTTTTCAAGAAATTATTTAATTTAGCTGGATAAAGATCGGAGCTTTTTGTGCTTTAGACTTTTTAGTTGTTAGTTTTTTTAGTTTCTTTGAGGAAGACAAGACCAATCGAGATGAAGGGGGTTCATGTCTGATTGGTCTGTGAAGAATATAAATCGTTTTGCCTTTTTATTTTCTGAGACAATTTTTTCGTTTGTTTGAAAAGTGGGGGGTTTTGGGTGTCTTTCATCTCATGGGTTCTTGAAAATGTTCTGTTTGGCTTTTTGTTGTCCAACTTCTGTCTGTCCCTTTTGAGTATCTTGTGATTTTTGTTTTCTCTATGATTTTCCCCCCCTCCTTTTTTGGCTTGCCCTGCGTTCTTGAAAAAGTTGTCATTTTTATTAATAATAAAAAAAAATTGGGAGTTTGAGTCTCTTGTTGGGACTTTTGGTGTGCTGGGAACTATGAGAGGCAATCATTTTGTATGGATTATTCATTGCTTGATTTTGCTGCAGTTTCTTGACTCTTGTTTTCCACTGCCTTTATGTACTGATTCAAGTAAGTGTGTGATTTTGTTACTGCTGTTATAGTGTGTTTGTGAGTTGGGTTGATTTTGATTTGTGTACTCATCTCCTTTTCGAACTTGTTGTGCAGCTGCACCTTTTACTCCGAGGTCTCCTTTGCAGTTCTGTCCGTACAATGGCTCAGTTTGCTGCAATAATTCCGATGATTTCCATCTGAGGAATCAATTCTTATCTATGAATATTTCTGATCCCAACTGTGCCTCTCTTGTTAGATCTATCCTTTGTTCGGTAAGATAAAAAGTACTTTGCTTGCATTGAGCAGTGCTGCGTAATTCGCATCATTCTGCAATTGAATCTCAGATTATTGCTCGTTTATTGTACCACAATTGAGATCTCATTTATGCAATGTAATTAGAGAGCCTGATATTCTTGGTATTGTTGTAATTTTAATTATGTATTGTGTTAGATGACAAGTGAAATCTAGCTTTTCTGTTATTTTCGATTAACACAAGCAAAACAGTCTTCTGATAAATGCACGATATATAAAATCAAGATTTTGTTCCTCTATATTGATAACTCGTCTCTAACTTTATGGTTTGTAATGAGTAATTAATTGTGTCACATTATTATTTACAGAGATGTGATCAGTTTTCGGCCGACCTTTTCAGAGTCGACTCTGTCCCTCGTCAACTTCCCGTGCTCTGTAACTCTTCGAACCCAACAAACTCAAACAGCTTTTGTTCTCAAATATGGAACACTTGCCACAACATTTCCATTTCAAATTCCCCATTCGCTCCCACTTTACGAACCCATGCAAGCTCCAACTCCTCCACACTATCCGACACCTGGCGAACTCAAGACGAGTTTTGCGCCGCGTTTGGCGGCTCGCCAAACGCCACATCACCATGTTTTTCCGGCTCACCAATCAGTCTTAACAACAATAACACCAATAACCCAACTCCTCCAGGTGGCCTTTGCTTAGAGAAAATCGGAAATGGGTCTTACCTAAACATGGTGGGCCATGCAGACGGGTCAAATCGGGCTTTTTTTTCTAACCAGCAGGGAAAAATCTGGCTCGCGACTATTCCAGAAACGGGCTCGGGTGGAGTTTTGGGAATTGACGAGTCGAACCCTTTTCTTGATTTGTCGGATGAGGTCCATTTCGATACTCAGTTTGGTATGATGGGAATTGCGCTCCATCCACGATTTGTCGAGAATGGTCGTTTTTTCGTTTCGTTCAATTGTGACAAAGCCAAGTGGCCTGGATGTGCTGGCAGGTGCGCGTGCAATTCCGATGTGGGCTGCGATCCTGCGAGTCTCGGGCCAGATAACGGGGCACAGCCTTGTCAGTATCAAAGTGTTGTGGCTGAGTATACGGTTAATGGTAGTAGCTCGTCAAGGCCTGCATCGGTATATACATAACTGACAAAATTCANAAGTTAATCTGATATGTTCTTTTGACAATGTAAGGCTACAAGTGCTAACCCTTTGGAGGTGAGAAGAATATTTACGATGGGCCTACCTTTTACGGCCCACCATGGAGGCCAGATTCTTTTCGGGCCAGAAGACGGTTATATGTACTTCATGATGGGAGATGGTGGAGGTGTGGGAGACCCGTATAATTTCGCTCAGAACAAGAGATCTTTGCTTGGCAAGATCATGAGATTTGACGTTGATAATCTGCCGAGTGAGTGATAAACTTATAGTTACATGGCTAATAGAAAATTTATGCTTTAAATTTTATTCTTAGCTTGAAAATGCAATAAGAACATTTTGCATTTGGGACATTTTGTTTTTCAGGTGATACTGAAGCTGGTTTGTGGGGAAACTATTCTATTCCTAATGATAACCCTTACACAATCGATAAAGACTTGCAGAGAGAAATATGGGCTTTAGGCCTACGAAATCCTTGGCGGTGTAGCTTCGATTCTGCAAGGCCTTCGTATTTTATATGTGCAGACACAGGACAGGTGGTGATAAAAAATTAGACGACATAATTTTCCTTGGCATTGGGAAAATGATTCTTGATCATACAAAAAAACTATCTTTTTTGTTTAAATTCTGATTAGAGGTTACAAAACCGAAGTTTTAACTTTTAACCTTAAGTTGATGTGATTATTTAACAGGATGTATACGAAGAGGTGGATTTGATAACCAAGAATGGAAATTACGGGTGGCGGGCCTTTGAAGGCCCGTACCATTATACTCCTCCACAGACACCTGGAGGAAATACTTCAATCACCTCAATAAGGCCGATTTTCCCTGTTATGGGATATAACCATTCTGAAGTAAACTCGAATGAAGGTTCAGCATCGATCACTGGTGGCTACTTCTATAGATCCATGGCTGATCCTTGCATGCATGGAAGGTACTAAATTAATAATAGTATCAGTTATTTCAAATCATTTTGTGTTTTTGTTACTGAAAATAGATATTGCTCGTTTTTTGCAGATACTTGTTTGCTGATCTTTATGCGGGCGCTATATGGGCCGGGACCGAAAGCCCAATAAACAGCGGAAGATTCAATAGCACCCAAATTAGTTTTAATTGCGCGCACGATTCGCCTATTCGCTGCACGTTCACTCCTGGGAGCACGCTTCCTTCTTTGAGCTACATTTTCTCGTTTGGAGAAGATAATAATCGGGATGTTTATCTTCTTACAAACAATGGTGTGTACAGAATTGTACGTCCAAGTCGTTGTAACTACACGTGCTCGAGTGAAAATGCCTCGATTTTCTCTCAAGGTCCTTCGGCAAGCCCACCTCGTTCGGGAGCAGGCTCGAATGAGATTTTTCTGTTTTTGAATTCATTTTTGTGTTTGATTGTGATGATTATTTTTATGTGAAATTTGATGAGGATTTGTATTGTCTTGTTTGTGAACATTTGTCTTTTGTCATTGTTAAAGTTTTGTTGTCTAACTATTGAAGGTTTTTTAGCATCATCATCACTTGTACAAACAGAACAAGATTTTGTACAACATTTGCAGATATTGATTGATTTGTTGGTTGCATTAAAATAAAAGTAACTGCAATTCTGCTATGAAAGTAAAACACGTGAACAAAGATGTAACAGATGAAAAACAAGTACTAGTAAAAGCTGATTCATAAAGCATTGCTGCTAATTTGAACATCACTCAGTAAAGTGAGAGGACATTAGACAATATAAGTTATATAAGGATGGGATCCTGTGGTTTAAGTTTCTTTAGAGCCTACAATTCCGATTGCTGCCCAACTTTGAAAATGGTGTTGGGCTTGTGTTTTATATGGTTTCGTGTCCCGTAGGGATGGTGAAGTTAAAATGAATCAGTTAAAATTTAATCAGTTCTGTTCACTAGAGATTTCAAAATTAATCATTTTTGGTTCACCCGTTTCGGTTAGAACTTATGGTTGCTCTTGGCGTCTGCCTCCTCCTCCTCCTCCAGTAACGAATTTTAACAAATTATATATCACTTTGATGCTGTCGAATAAAAAATATCCAACGACGTCTTCGATTTCATCATACGATACTTCGAAGTTCATCAAAATCGTCATTAAAATTTTCAATTTTTTTTGTGTAAGATGTGCCTGCCTTAAAGTTTGACCAAGTTCTACCGATGATCGTACTTTTAGATTTTTATGAACAATATAGGTTATACAATCATTTTTTAAGAATCTATTGATTATTTTCGATTATCAGTCGGGTATTTCAACATGTGAAAATATGTCATCGAAGGCTCTGATTTTCTTAACGGTAGCAGCTTATCAGATAACTGGATAATTCGCTGGCTTATTGCTGGTGATTTAGAGGTTTGATTGATGATCGGGAGACACTGTTGAATACTCAAGAAAATGATTTTCTATAAATATTTCTTTCAAGAACGTCAGGAATGCCAACAGTGGGATCTTCCGTAACACTTTGTCAAACTTTAAGATACATTTTACCAAAACATTTTGAAAATTTTAACAAATATTTAACGAACTTCAAGGTATCGTATGGTGAAAACAAAAATTCCGTTGGATAGTTTGAGTCAAGTGCTTCAAGATGCTATATGATTTTTTTTAAAGTACAACACATAGACGGCTGCAGAAAGTATCAATTATTAGTTTTTAACGATTTTGGATTGAATATGACTAATTTGTGAAACGTTAGGACCAATATTGATTAAGTTAAAAATTTGGGTAACAAAAGTGAAAAAATGTACAAGTCTGTTGTCAAAAGTGATTTTTTCCCTTATCATGTAGCACCTAGAATAGCTCGGTAGACCGACCTGAGTGTTTAGCTCTGATAAGATCGGTCCAAAGAAGTTGTTTCTCGATTTCATTGTTTGGCCTGGTCAAGGAGCTCGTTTAGGCAGCTCATGGTACATGTCGACTTGATTAGAAGGCCAAAAGTCGGGCTCCATCAGGAACTCAGACATGTGATGGGACCTCACGATCTGGAGGTCGTGAAGATAGAAGTTGTGGTAACCACCTGATTACAATTTATGACAAATAGGTTGCTAGATTGTTCAGACGACCTAAGGACCTAAGTGTCGTATGGTAAGAAAAAAGATAGTCCTTTAAGGATGAAAAATGTATCTCGTTAAGGAGTTTCAAATTCTAGAGGCATGACAAACAAGGAAAATAGATATCTTTCCTAGTCAAAATTATACTTTGGCAACAAGACACCCTAGTATATAAAGGGTGATCATGTTTTACTTAATTTCTTAATGCATATTTACACACATAAGCTTACCATTTATATATTTTCTCACGGGCGATTATTGAGTTGAGCGTTAGATGTTTTTCCGCCGAGACTCCTCCCCGACATATTCCAGGTCATCAAAACTCGAAGCAAGAGGATTATTAATGGTGGAACTAGTTGAATCTGGTCCAAGGACAATTTGCGATGCACTAGTTTTTGGTGTGCCAATTGGGCAAAAATCCTTTTTTTCCTTCTTCAGTGACATGGAAAACTTTTTTCATCATAAAACAATATTGGTATTTACATTGTAAAAACAACCTTCTGTTTATCCCATTGTCATTTCCATCTTTCAAACATTTTGGAAAATAAGCTTGTTGTGCTTCATATAATTTTGGAACACGTCTTAACTAGATTCCTTTAGTGTTGAAGCCTCTAATGTTAGGTAGAAGTAGGGTTTCAAAATTATTGAGTCTTACACCAGTTTATAACATCCCGATGAGACTCTTATGTGAAAATAAATTAAATATAATGACATGTTTTTTTTTTTTCTTTTTTCAGATAACCAAACAAAATAAAATGTTCAAATGAAAGTGCATCCATGGTCCAATTAAAACGGTTATTCAAATCGATTATTTACCAACAACTTGGTTCGACATGTGATAAAGTTCAATCTTAACGAGCTCGTTTATTTAAACAAGTCGAGCTCGAACAATTAATCAAGCTCGTTTATTAAATAAGTTGAGCCCGTATTTATTTTTATTGTTATCAGTAGGTATTAAATGAACAGTTGGGCGGACATATTCGCAATTGCAACAGATTATGTTCGTGAATAGTTTGTTTACTATTTTGAATATATCAAACGAACACGAATTCGAACATGAAGTTCTCGGTTCAAAACTTCAAACCCTACATACATACACAGCATATTCTCTCTAGTTATTTTTTCCTCTTATCTTTTATTCTCTCTTTTGTCACAACCTAATTTACTTTTCACAAGATGCTGCACAAATATAAACTCCCTTTCCACTTTCTCCTAAGCACAACTCAGAGCACAACTCAGAGCTCCATTGACAGCAAACACCAGACTCCAGTTTCTCTCCATCTTTATTAGGTCAAAATTCGAGTCCCTCAAGTTTTGAAACTTTACATCTCGACCCCATTATAAACACTTATTTTCAAATTCCACCAGTACCCATCGCCAAAACCCCAATTTCTCCTCAAACTTCCCTCTGGTTTGTGTCCCCTTTTCTTCTTCCTTTCCCCCCTTCAACAATTTTCTCTCTCTACGAACAGTGGGACTTGAAAATCTCACCGCACTCCAAAACCCATTTCTGCATTTTCAAGAATTTGCTTCCTTTTATTGTGATTATGATTATGATAATCTAATTGCGACCCTTTTTCTTCACCTTTCGTTCTTGCAGTTTGTTCGTGTTCAATAATTATTGTTAAAATCATATTTATTCGTTTTTTGTCCGGAAAAAGATTCCGCTTTTTTTCGCCGCCGGCGATTCTGGTGTACTTCAAATGCAAACCCTCGATCCCTCATGTAACCCTAACGTAGACCCTCCCGCACCCGATCCCTCGGCCATGGCTGAGAGCTCTTCGCCGATCCACTCCCAGAACGACAACCCCACCCATGACGACCAAACCCATGTAGAAACCAACGCCCAGAATGAAAGCTCGAAGGAGAACAGTGTTAAGAATAGAACCAGTGTTGGTAAAGGCAATGATGGCAGTAGTGTGGTGGTCAGGAGAGAGAGGCCGTCACGGGCTTGCACTCAGCGGGCTGCCGCCAGGCTGCAGGCGGCGGCAGAGGCTGAGGCGGCAATGGAGGCCGAGAGGAAGAGGAAGAAGGCTAGGAAGGAAAAAGTAGCAGCTAGAGTGTCGAAAGAGGAGTATGAGGAGGAGGATAGTTTTGGCTCGGGGGATGAAGGAGCGAATGGGGAGGAGAATGGTGAGGAAGGTGAGTCCCCTTCATCTTCTCGTGTGCAATGCGGTAAGATAATCACGCAGCTCGTTGGGGAGGTGGAGACTGGGCAGCTGCCGAGGTGGAACATAAGGAACATGTGGCAGCTGGCTTCTATTTTTAATTTCTTGAACGTAAGTGTGAGGTTTGGGAATGCAGGCAAGACTTTTAGCATTATTTGGGAGATTTTATGTTTTTGAGCTGATATGTGTGTTCTTCTTATGTTTTATGGGGTGTAGGTGTTTAGGCCTTTGTTGAATATTAAGGTGGAGTTTTCTGCCGAGGAGTTTGAGACGGCTTTGCTTAATCCGAATAATACATTGGGTGATGTACATATGCCATTGTTGAAGGTTAGTGCCTTTTGGTCCTTACTAATGGTTTATGCTCTTTTAATCGTGCAAATTTTTGAAGTATGTTAGATTGAGTGTGCTTTTGTATGGTGTTCTGTATAGCACTCTTTTATGGAGCTTTTTGTGCTACATTGGGCTTCAAGATGATACCTTGATTGTTATATGCTGGTTTTCTTTGACATCGAGTAGAATTTGAACCACAGGCTGTCAATTTGTTGCTTGATGGCTTGAAATTTTGTTTAAGGTTTCATGTTTCCCTTGAAATACAATATTTTCATTTTGATGATGTACATGGCTACATGCAGAAAGAATGATCGGTAAGCATTATTAGTTAAGCAAAAATATGGGTCGTGTGCATAAACTTTAATAAGTATGGAGAATGTTAAATTTTTCAGTTTGCTGTCGCGTTTGAAAGATGGTGGTCTATTATAAAAAGAATTGATCTTGAAAGTATAGACTTCTATACCTAGATTGTTACTCTCATTTGTTAATTATTTATACATGGCTGATTAGAAGTATTTCTGCCGATATTTGTTCTCTTTTTTTTTTTCTATGAATACTAATACACCGTTTTGAGCATTTTCCAAAACATTGCATGATATCATTTGTGTCTTATAATGTCAAAAGGCTGAAATCTTCTTGTGCGGCACTGAAATCATGCACACAACTGTGGCTAAAAAGAATGAGCATGTTCAGTAATGGCCAGCTAAAACTGAGAGTCTGTTAATTTTGTTTACTATGATGCTCTGTAAGTTTCATGGCAATTTAACTTACATGTTAATTAGATATATAGACCCTATTCATGATTATGTGAAATGCAACTTCTTTAAAGAGTTAATATTTAGTAAAAATACTGAAATAATGTTCCTTATCTGTTCTTGGGGTAGGAGTGAATAGCAGCATAGAACCCCCAATATTATAACTATGAAGGCAGCTATAATCAGATTTCTTTTAGAACATGATGGATATGTGGAACTTTTAGGGTTTAGTGAAGTGTATTGGTTTAAATGAGCGCATAAAGTGTCTCAGGTGAACAAATGTTTATTATCAGAAATAATCATTTCTTTCACTAACGTGTGAATTGGTAACTTGGGTCATATTTAGGAGGCGAAGTCCAATAAATTGAGAAAGATGCTTCATTTATGACTAGACATTATATAAGAGATGTAGTATTGAATGAACAATTGTAAATTGTTTTGATTATAATGCCGGTGTGTATACGATAATAATATACATTAATCGTTTTTCTAAATTCTCTGAAGTTTCTTTTGCAAGCATATTCTTCTTAGATTGCAGTTCGCACCCTACATTTGGTGAAGCTATGTTCACTGGGTGAGTTGGTACATTGTCGTATCTCATTGTCCTTGTTAGTTCTACCATAGGCCTGGCACATAGCTTTCATGATTATAAGATTCTATAGCTGCGAAGCAGTAATACCTGGTGCCTATTTCTTGAATATATTAGTTACTACATTGGTTGGACATCGAGCAATAATGAAATAGGATAGAGTTTGGCTGGTCTAAGTGGTCTTTTGGTAAGTAGAATTGGGAAGGAAATTTTGCTATAACTTGAGATGAGTGTAAATATTGTAGGAAAAATGACCAAAAGACACGTTATTAAGTCAGCAATAGGTGCTTGTGTTGGTTAAATATGGTGACTCAATATCCGGGAATTCGTGAGGATTACTATTGAATCTTGATATAAGTTTTTATTCTCTGTGAAAGAAGCTGGCTGATGAATTTTAGAGTTGAAGCTTCCTTGGCCTGTATTATGAAGTATGCAAGTTACTTGTAATCCTGCAGATACCTTCATAGTTCTCCTTTGTGTCCATCAGCTTCTATATAACTTCCAAAATGTGCGTCCAATTTGATTCATTGTTATTCACCTTCTTTCTTTTTTTTTTTCAATTTTATTTGTAAAGGTGGCAGCATTGTAATTTGCTTCTTTATTCTTACAGTTTTTATTTTCGTTATGGAACCATAATGTTATGCTTAAGTATGACACACACTGTTTAGATGTTTTAAATTTTTATATGTTTGTCTTTAGGCAATTCCTCCCGTGACTAGAATGGCACTCGGACACAATACTTGGATAACTGTTCTGTGCAGAAAATTGAGAGATTGGTGGCATTGGGTAACCTATCAGCTTTTAACTTTTTCTGGTGTATGCATTCAGTAGAGCAAAATTTTACTGTAGAGTTGTTGATTCACTTGGTTTTACGTTTCCCATTGCAGGTTGCAGAAGGAGATCTACCTATAGTTGCATCACATGGGTGAGTGGAAGTATTTGTTGAGAGTTTGAATAGTTGTGCTAATACTTGCATAAGTGAGGCACAGTTACCCATGTTTTTTTATCGATAAGCTTTTCTTTTGTTTTAGGACTGAAATTGATGCATACAATGCACTCGATCCTAGTGTTCGAGTGGTGATTCTGAAGGCTTTATGTGATATTCGTGTTGAGGTACCATTTTTTTTTTTTTTGACATACTTGATTGTGTTCCAATTATGAGAATAAATTAACAAAGGTTTCATTTGTTGAATGTCGTCCCGTTCCAGTATGTCTCGAATTCGTCATATGTTTCTTATGCATTTAATAATCTGTTATTATCAATATCCTCACTTTTTAGTGACAAAACATTTATACCATATATTATCTCCAAGTCAAAGTTCGGTTTTCATCATCAATGTCGGTCATGAACTTGAGACAATATATGCAGTGTACGACTTATAAAAATCATGCTGATCCTTTGTTTTTGTGAGACCATCACAGATAGTACGGGAAAAAAATAGAGGCAACAAGCTGTACTTTTTTCCACTTTTTTGCACCTCAAAATGAACCCTGATTATGGTTTGCTTTAGTAGAAGTTGTTTCGTACTTCCATTTTGCTAAGTTTTTAACTATTCAACCTGTCCACATGTTATTTTTTGGTGTTGTTGTTTTATGTTTCCTTNTTTATTCTGTTATATTTAGTTCACTTAAATATGCCCTCATTTTGCAGCAAGAAGATATTAGAAACTATATAGATGGTTCAGTGAAACATGGTGTTCACCTTTCTGCATTCCGCAAAGAACGTATAGGTGGTGATTCTCATGGGATCTCATATTGGTAATTTGTACTTTCAATGTATTCATATGGGTTTTTGGTTTGCTGTTGCAACAGAGTTTGATCCTCAAGCACTCCAGTTTGTTTTTTCATGGAATCTAATCTACGTTTTGTGCATATTCTGCTTTGAAGACTAATATAAGTATTTATTTGTTATGTTATTTTATATAGGTATGAAAATGATCCTATCATTGGTCATCGACTGTACCGAGAGATAAGGAAAGTTGAGGTAAAAAGAGGAAAAGGGAAGACTGTCCCACAAATTCCCCATTCATCTTATCAGTGGGAGGCGGTTGCAACTAATTTAGACGAATTCCTCAATGTTTCTGTGAGCCTTTTTTTCTTGTCAGCACTTCATATTGGTTTTAATTTTTATTATTATATTATTATTATCGAATAAATGCTAGATGCTTCTCTTGCTTCTCAAGCAAGTCCATCTTTTTGTTATGTGGTATAATAGAAGTATAGAACCTTTTATAAGCTTAAGTGGCCTGTTCATTACGAGTTGCATCATTCTGAATCAGAAACTCTTCTTTTGCAGGAGAAGCTGTTTTCGAGTAAAAATAGAACGGAGGTTGCTGTTGGAAAGAAACTGAAAAATGACATGCTACCTGAAATCGAGAAGGTCCACAAGGTGGCCATTTGTTTCTTTATCTTGCATTTGCATTTTCGAGTGTCTTTAAAATGAACATGGATGGTATTAAGATTTAATTTTGTACAGAGAAAGGAGAAATTGTTAAGAAAACAGCATAGACAAGCACTCATGCTCGATAACACGATGAACATGGATGGTCTTGCTGCCGGACGCTCTCTTCGTGATAGAAAACCCGTCACTTATACTTTTGGTACGTGTAGTATTGTTCCTGCATACAAATTATTTATATTTATGCTCGTTTTGCTTTCTCACTCTCATCCTTGCTTTTTTGGAGAAGTCGAGCACAATGTGACTGTTATGAAGTTAACTTATTTGTTATTTCTATGTATTGGGATCTTACTTCTTAGTTTATTTCTTACAATCTCCTTTGCATATTAACTCTGCTGATAAATATTGTTTGCTTTTTTTTTCTGCAACAGACGATTTCGACCGTTCTATTAATGAGGCTATAAAGGTCACCAAGTATGTACTTTACCATCATGAAATTCCACCTGCCCTACGTTAGATTTTATTTGCTCGAATATTCATTCTAGAAGTTACTATCCCTTTTTTTTTTTTTCCTGTATAACTCTTGTATCTATCTGTTTTATCATATCAGGAAAAAACAACTGTCTCCAGAACTTTCTGAAAAAAGGGATTTTCACGTCAAAATCGAGAGCTCTACAAACGGCAGTAGGTGGGCTGGTGGACCGTCCAATTATTACCGACAAGATTCCTTCACTGCAGTATCTCCAAATTCGCTCGACGAGGATGATTATTATGACGATCAGAAAACTGAGGCTGAGACTGAGGCATTGGACAGAAGGTACCCGATTCATCGCCTTTCCCTTGATTGTCGTTATTAATTATAAATCATACTGTCGAGTTTTAATTTATTTTTTTCCTCTAAAATTTTAGGTATGTATTTACTAACAAATTGCCTCCTTGATTGGTGCGATTAATAGGATAATAACAGAAAGAACCTTTTAAGTTTGATGTATTTACAGAAAAGGTCCGGCTAACTTTTATAGTACAAAAAATGCCCCTGAGGATTTCTTCGGTTTTTAAAATAAGGGGGCTAACTATAATACTGATAAAAAAAGCTAAACGATCATTTGAAATACGCTTACGAAGGGAATACATCATACATGTAAGACAATCATATTATCGGTTANGGGTAATTTCAGACTTTAGCTTACAGTTAATAACTAATAACAATCAAACCTCAAACAAGTAACTCGAATAGCTGGATCTTTTTACAAATAGGCTAAAATCTCCTGTGTGCATTTTGGCTAAAAATCGGACAAAATCCTAACATAACCCCCGAGTCTTTTGTGATCCCCCAGCAACCGCAGGCGGCAAAAGCCCCAGCGATACTCGCTCGACGACTTTATCTCAGACAACGAGCCGCCGCACGATTTTGACAGTGACGACGACATAGTTGGCGAGGTCGTGTACGATGACGAGTACCTTAAAAACCGCAAAAAGAGACAAAAAACGACGAGCACTTCAGACAGCGAGGATGAATACCGATTTGAGGAAGAAAATCACGAGGATGAATACAAAGCAGAAGAAGATGAAGAAGATGAAGATGATGAAGAAGATAGCTTGAATACGGGTGACGATAGTGAAAGTGATAATCCCCGTAAATTCAAGCCAGTGAAGGGCCGAACTCGACGAGAGACGAAATTGAGGTCGGTTGATGATCTCCAATCTGGCTTGAGGCGTAGCAAGAGATCAAATCGGAACCGAATTAACTACAGGCAATATGAAATGTCTGAGTCGGAAAATGAGTTCATTGTGAAGCCTGGGAAATCGGACGATGGGTTTGCTGATGGGAATTTTGACGAGAGTGATGATGATGATGATAATGAAAGTAGTCGGGATTTTGAGGAGAATGTGGATAATGTTAAAGATGAGGATGATGATGATGAAGATATGCATGAAAACGAGCCTGCTCGTGAGGCCAGGATAGAGAATTTGGATTTAAAGAAAATGGATAATGTTCGGGAAGATGAGGAGGAATCGAATAATAGTAAGGATGAAGGGGAGGATTGTGATGGTGAGGTGGGAAAAAGGCGATTTCTTGATCTGAACGAGCTGGCGCCAGGCTCGGGCTTCGATGATGGGCCCACATCAACGAGAGGTGGGGATGATGATGACGAGGTCTAATCATTTGTTTGTAACGATAGAATAATGATGATCTGTGTGCGTCTTTGCGGTGAAAACCGACTCAATGGAGAGAGTTCTTCGGAGAAATTAACGGGTTTTGCTGGAGTTCAGTAAGTGTTTTCATGCTGGGGCAATGTGATTTTGAAGGGGTAGTAGGTTTAGTTTGTTTCTTAGGAAAGAAATAGACCATGAATGATAAAATGGATGGGAATGTTTGATTTATGTTTAAGAAAAGAAGGGGTTGTTTAGTTTTTACTCTGTTTTCTTTTTCCCGTCCTATGATTTGTACTATAACTGCCTTAACAGAGATTTGTAACGCAATATTTTCTCTGCTTGATGATGCTATGGGACTCTCGGCTAATACCATATCTATTTTATCAGATTATAGTTCTTTTTTTGTTGTAAGACTTGTAGAAAGTTGGAGAGAACATTTTCTTTCTTTTTTTTATTCATTTATATTGGCTTGTGAATTAATTAGGGGTGCAATGGCTGACACAACACAATTAACATGATTTGCATGATCCCAAATTGACATGAACATGAAATAGAAGATTCAGTTATATGTGAATTTGTCATCATATTTGTGATTCAAATAAAGTAGTTAACACAAATATGATAGGATGGCAGCATGATTTGCCTCCCCTACTTATGTATGATCCAAAATGTTCCTAAAATGTGTTCGAATGTTGAAAATGTGGTCCCAACAAACACTAGCTGCAGATAAATACTTATTTAAACAACATTTGGTAATTGTTCATTTGTTCCAACAATATACAATATTTTTAATTCTATTTATTTTGAAGAAGAAGAAGAAGACAACTTCAACTGTTCAGAATGAAAATGCTGCATAAGGGAAGACAACTCTGTACAATCTCGATTTTTATGCTGCAAAGATTCTTTTGGCTGATTAGTTCGAAAACTTTAAGAAACTCAGACATTCACCGCCACTTAATCTAATTCACAATACAATACTGACAGAACATGATATTTTTCACAGGCAGTGAACAAACCTCCAGAACCGCAAAACACAGAATTTACAATATATCGTCATACTATATTATCACTGCAAAATTTGTTCGCTCCATTTTCCAGATGAGTCCTATTGTCACCTGACATTGCAACACGAGGGCTTTCCTAAATGCTTTAATTTGTTCCAAAGACAGATCATTTGTCTTGGGGATTGGTAATGAGCTGTTGTGTAGTCTTCTATGCATCCGAACTGGCAGAATTTCAGGCTATGTACGTACTCAACGGGCCTTGTGCTATTTACTTTCTCCACCCACATTCCCACACTAACATCCTCCATTTTAAACAACTGCGAAAAGTCGTTTTTTTTTTTGGGTCAAGTTATCATTTGGCGAAACAAATTGTATATCGGTGTATAGATTTGGTTTGAGCTTAGCTTACCCTTAAGTTTTGTTTCTCAAAGTCCGAAAGAATAAAGTTTGCAATGTCGGATGAGATAATGTAGCCCGGCCCGTTTGCATAGGGTGGATATTCTTCCTCTGGCCATTCCTGATGCATAAAAAAATGAAAAATAAAATATTCATTTTTAGGTTATTTACAATCTAGGGATGTACAGAAAGACGGTGAGCATATCACAAGCATAACAAAAGAGGAAGTGCTTGATTGCAATATCCAAAAACGCATGAAAAGAAAAGCAAAAATAAATTATGAAAAAAGAAATAGTAAATTTCCATACAAACCTCATATGTGACGGCCCATTTCCCACTGCGCAAAGGCTTATGATAGTAATTTATATTTCCAATATATAAGCTCTTGCCCTCTCGAACTTTTTTTGCTTCGTTAAGAATAGCGTCTACCCTCACAAATGTGTCATCATCACCTTTCATAATATACTTAGCAGATATACTCCGCACCTGCAATTGCACAATGTGCCACTTAACTCAAACAGAGAAGGAAAAAAAGAAAAAGACAGAAAAAAACCTCAGGTTTAAATTCAACTCACCCCATATTCAAATATGGCTACAGTTTTGAGAACAACAAGGTCATAGTTGTCCATGTATGGCACTATAATGATATCTCCAAAAAACTCAGCCTCTCTCTTTACTTCTGTATTCACTTCCTTTCTTGCATTCTGTCCAAAAAAAGAATAAAGAAATGGGTCCCAAAGTTAGCTCCAACAGCTTAAAGTCGAGGATTTTGAAAGAAATTAACTCGAAAATTTTCAAGACAACAATCAGTTTCACCCACCAATGCGACAAAAAAACGCACAACAACTTTTGACGATTTAATTAGCTTGTGCTGCATCCAAGATTTCCTCACGGCCATTCTTTCAGCAAAGTGGCTGCCTGCAGAGAGAATACCAATGAAGAGTTCAACGGGCCCGGATGGAATAGATGGAGCTTTCCATTCTTCGGACAAATCAAGATGCCTCTGAGGAGCAAAACTCGGGTGCGATGTGGGCAAAGAACCAGCAAATATAGAATGAACATCGATATCTCCATTTAACGATAATCCAGTCGCATCCTCGAGTGTAAATCCCTAAACATACAAAAAATATATTTTTTTTAAATAACTTCATGAAAAAAGTTTATAGGCATAAGAAAAAAAAAGAAAGAAAAAAATGCAGAAAGATTACTCACAGTGCGATATGGAAATGAAGTGACGTGTCTCCCATCAACGTTGACATGGTAACCTTCAAGACCAGCACTTAGAGTGAGTACGAACAGTTTGCCTTCAGCAAAAGGAAACGGCCAATCAACAGTCACTTTTTTAGTTCGTCCAATTAACCGGTTTAGCCACCACGTCGCCTTTGATTCCTCCGAGCCGTTGTCATCATCCCGTATCCATTTTTCACATTTCACCATGTCATCAACTGCATAAAGTTTAAACCTTGAGAACCATGATTTGTTACAGGATGTACATAATCAAAGAGAGAGAATCATCGTTAAAAATACATGTAGCATACATTATGTGGAGGACTAATGTACATGATCTAAATCCCAATTGTAATCAAATTAGGGCTATCCTGATGGAAATTGCTTAAAAGGAGGAATATTATCAGATACAGGAAAGCAATCATTCAATGTAACTTCTCACTCTACTTTTGCACATTTTTCCCCCTAAAAATTGCCAATAAGGAACATCAAAAGTTGTCCCATGCTCACCTAACTCAACATATGTCCATCTATGTACCTTCAAAAGCTAACATAACAACTTTACTCATATACGCAATCCATCACTCTCCATTTTCCCCAAAAAAACTTCAACAAACAAAACAAAACTTAGCTCAACCAATCCATCAAACACAATGCAAGCAAACACCCAATTCAATCCATTCCCAAATCCCACTTACCAGTCTCCTCATCGGCACGCGATTTCCAGCCTTCGCACCTCTGAGACGTTCCCCATTGCATTCTGTAACACGTGTTGTGCTCGATCACCGGCTTTCCACTCCAATCCCCTTTTAGCCTTGGGTTAAAATGCAAAATCCTCGGAGGATCCTCGTCCTCCACTGTCTTCAACCCCTGCAACTCCATCATAAACTGTGAAACCATTACATACTGCCCCTCCTTCAGCAATGAAATCTTCGGGTCGGTCTCAGCATGAGCAATCCTCGGTTTCCCCACAACAGTCATGTGGGACCCTAACGTAAGCCCACAGGGAAGCACCATAATTTTCCCATTTTTCAAAAATTCCTCCCCACCGACAGATATGGAGTGCGGGCATGGCTCGGTTTTGGTACTGGTACTCCCCTTGCTGCCGGGCACACGATTGCTGCCATTTTTTCCGGCTAATTCGAGCTCCCGCCAGAGCTTCCGGCCGATTTCCAACGCGTCCTTGGCGGCCTTCGAAATCCCGATGTCGGGGCCGGAATTCGCTATCCCGGCGGAGAGGTTCAGCCGGGAGAGGGGCGATTGGAGGGTTTCTCTGATTTTTCGCTCCGGCGATCGGTAGGGAAGGTCGAGGGGGCGGACGGGGGCCTCTTTCTCCTCCGTGTCCTCCTCGCTCTCGAGGAGAAACGGCTTCGAGCTCAAAATCCCGTTACTGCTACCGCTGCTGAAAAGTGAAACTTCTTGAGAAACCGAAATGAACCCATTTTTGAAGACGAAGGGCACTTCGAAACAGACCAATATTATGTACAGAAGCGCGAAGAGGATGAGCACGCGGGTTGATCTCTGCCGGCCCACTGAGAATAACAGGTCCAGGCTTGACCTTTTCATATTATTTGTTTGTTTTTTTCAATTTCAGTTTCAAATTCAATTCAGAAATGAGGAAAATTTGTGCAGCTGAAGCTCAATCGGAGCTTGAGAAGAAGGTTGTAGAAGGTGTTTGAGATGGAGAAAGATTGGATTTTTATTTATTATTCTGAAACGTACAAAAAACCCCCAACTAAGAAAAGTGAAGATGAGAAAAGAAAAGAGACGTTAGGTCAGCAACGCATAGCTGCTTCAACCGCGTAGAGAGAGAGGGGGGAGGGGCATAGATACATACCGTGTATGTATATGTAGAGAGAGAGAAAGTGGTGGTGGTGAGGAAGATTCCTGGGGTCGGTCACTTTTTTTGTGTTTTTTAGTGAAGCCATTTCAAATTTTAAAAGGAAGTAAAAAACAGCATTTTATTTTTTTTTAAATATGGTAAATAATTTATAATTTGGAAATGAATATTTATCTGTAATAGGAAAATCATGCAACATCATACAACGCATGATTCCACTAAGAAAAGTACAAAATGTAGAAATTTTAGAAATATTTTTTTGTCTAGAAAATATTAAAAGAAAATATATAGATTCTGTGGATAAAATGGAATGAAGAATATATTGTTGTGACGGTGAGTGAATGTAAGTTAAAGATTAGTTGAAAACACATGATATAAAATAATAAAATTTATATTTGTAATATGTGGAGTTATATATATTACCATATGAAATTTTGACGTGGAAATCTAGCGTATGCTTGATTTTAAATTTCTCTTTCCAACAATATATATCCAACTACATTTATTCGATATGATCCTAAGTCACGTGAATAATAAAATATAACTTACTGGTGTTCGTGAATTTTGTCGTCGACTATGGTATCCACGCAATCCAATTATTTGATGCACGATCTAACGCTGATGGGTGTGATATGAAGAAGTTAAAAACCCTCGAATTAGAATGCCGGAGAGTGTTTGTGTCTCGATCTTGATCTCTCAATCTCTTAGAAAAAAAAATTATTATATTAAGTTAATTATATAATAAAAAATTATTATTATTCATTTTGTTAGTGTTATCTATCGATGTCCTAATTTCATGGTTTCGTAATTTCTGATTTTTAGATCTCACAATATCGATCAACGAAGAGATAATAAGATATTTATAACTCGGTTTGACCCCACCATTATTTATTTATTTTTCTTATCTACATTTTTATTTTAAAGTAAAGTATGTATATATATATTTATGTGATATATATTTATGATAAAATACAATATTATTAAGACTTTAGGGTATAAATTTTACATATATATATTTGTTATTTTATGTATTGTTATAAGGTGAAAATAATATAAATACAATTTAAACTTTTATAAATTAACTAACCGATTCACCAGTTGATCGGATGACCTGACAGTTGGACCGGTGACTAGGAGTCCAGCCCGGATCAATCATCAGTACAAATTTTAAAACTATGATTGTATTTTATCAATTAACATCTCATCTTGTTATTAATAATAACAACTCAAGTAAATAATTAATTAAAAGATTACAAATAATCAAATGGTTATTAATTAATTGTGATACCATAGTTATAATAAAATCTATCTATATATATATAATAAGAATTACCATTTATCAAAAATAGTAGCAAAATAATAGGTCAGAATTTAATGCAGCCTATAAATAGTAAGTTTATTATTTTCTTATTTTTTTCTTTAAAAATCATACAACATTAAATGCTACATTAAATTTTGAGCTTTAATTTATTTTATTATTTAAAAAATATGACTAAAATTTATTAAGTGTGTATGTTTTTATTTTTATTTTTTTTCTTAGAAACAACGAACAATATTAAAATCTCGGTCTCTATATTTATAAAATCTCAATTCAAAATATAACAAAAGTTTTAAAATCTCGGTCTTTATATTTGTGACTAAAAAAAATATTGATCGCAAAAAATATTCTTTAATTGCATAATCAATCAATTACTCTTAATTTTTTGAAAATTACTGTGTTTATTTTTTATTAATATGCATAAAGTAAAAATAATTAATTCATCTATAGATATATAATTTATAATCTTAATATACTATCATTTGGTGTAGACATTTATTATATGAATCATAAAATATTTTTATTTCAATATATTTAAATAAAATAAGAAAATTTCTTCGGATCAATCGGGTGATTGAATTAGGGTACTGTCCAGGTTGATTGAATTACTTTTATGTGATATTTAAAATAGTAAAAAAATTTGACACAACTTAGTTGGTTCCAGGGGACTAAGTTATGTATCAGTTCGACCACACCAAATTGATTATTGAACCTAAATATAAATTTTATATTAAAAATATTTTATTACGTGAATGTGATGTAGTCCAAACTTCAAATAATCGTATTAACAATACTTTTATGACAACATCTTTAATGTTTATGAATATTTATATATCATTTTATTAATATTTATGTGAATTATATAATATTTTATTATAATATTTATTAATATACAGTAAATATAAGGTGTTTAGAAATGGACCGTCATCGAAACGATCAAGCTATTTTATTAACTCATTTGTGGTTTGTTCAGATTTTAATTTATAAATATTTTAATATATATATATATATATAAATATAGATATAGTATTTTTTGTAATAAATTTAAATAAAATGTGTTACTTAGATATTTAAATAATTTATAAGTTCAAATGTTTAAACTAATTGATAAATAATTTATAAATCTCTATTTTATTTAAATATGTAATTTTATTTAAAATAATTTTAAATATAACAAAATTTATTTAGAAAATCGTATCGATCCTACCAGTCCAACCGACTGGTGTTGACTGATTCGAGAGCAAATATTTTATTCAAGCGAACTAGACTGATTATAAACGATTCTCGATCCATCCAGTAGGACTGTGTCCAACTCGGTTTAATTTAAAAACAATGAATAAATCATGATTAATATTATTTATATATTTAATTTATAATACAATCGTAATATTGTTTTCCCGTGCCTCGCACGGGCCATACACTAGTATAATATAAATATGATCAACTGCATATGTCTCCATTTACTTTTAAGTATGGTTTTAGACTTTTAGCGATGATAACTTGTCTTTAATCATTGTTTTAGATTTATCTTTTTTTTCTCGAAAGAACATTTATATTAAAAAATTAGAAAACTCAAAATAGTACAAGTTGTGAATGTCAACTAACACTTTAGAGCATCTCCAATGCTCCACTTTAAATATTAATTAAATTTGAACACATGTCAAATGATGAATGGAATGTAAATCCATGTAATATGAATGTCAAAAGAGAAGACTTTAACTTGGAATGCACATCTCCAATGCATCCCTTTCAAAAGCTTAAAATAGGTTAGATTTTTGATGAGTTGGCTTTCAAACACTCTTTGGAAAACTAGAAAGTGAGCTTCACACTTTGGATGTTTATTGTCTCCATGTTAGCATAAAAGAGTCCATAACATTATGGATTGGAGATTAATTTTTGTTTTCACTTTATAACTTGATGATGTGGCTAACATTTTATTAAGTCAACATCTCACATTGGAGATGCTCTAAGAAACTCTAATTGAAGTTCACCACGAAGCTTTACGCACTTTGTTATGAGATTGAACCAAAAAATATGGACTTACCCCCTTGAAACAATACAAATGTCCAAGTGGGTAAAATTTCCATTAAGGAGACCAAACTCAATACTAAAACACAACTCTATAAAGGAGACTAAAAAACTCCACAAAGGACAAATCATGTAAAACATTCGAACTTTGAAAATAAAAAATATAAAAAGTAATTGTAGATATGAATAAACGTTAAAATGTAAATGATTAAAATAAAAGAAACAAGATATGTAATTATTAAATATGTGTAAGTCGAAAA